GCTGCTTTGGGCGGCAGTTCTTGAAGGACACCGCACCCCGGGGTTGCTTACTTTAAAAATATAATTAAAGGCATGCGCGTTCTCCTTTGCGCCAGGCTTCATGCCCTGGGGCAGGTTGGCAAGGGCCTCTTCCTTGCAATTATGCACGAACGCCACACCAACTGTGCTGCAAGGGACGAGGCCAGAAACCCACATATAGCATTCATACACACAGAGACACATCTCCTAGCAGAGGAGTCTGCGTGGCTTCAAACAGGCAGCCGTTGCAAGGGGGCCGCCCTCTTCTTCATGTACGGGGACCACCCCCCCAGGCCCCTTTTCCACAGAGCAGGGGACAAGACGCAGCCCCAGCCCTGATTAGGGGAGGACGAGTGCTCATGCGCGAGTGCAGAGCGTCTGTTTGCACTGGAGGAACAGATGCTGCGCCCAAGGAGAGGGCCTGGCAGGCGACAGCCGCTCCTACTGTCCTGCTTACGGCACAGTTCTGCATCTGCTTAGAGGCAAGGACCACTCGCAAGGAAGCAGAGTGCGCGTGGCTGCCTTGATTTCCCAGATAGCAAAGCAGAGGCAGGCCGGCGGTGGGGAGGGGGTAATTTTAATTCCTTTCGATTTCCGGCCTAACACTAAGATTTGGGCTTAGTATGCTCAAGCATAGTGGTTAAGAGTGGGGGGCTAGGACTCAGGAGAGCTAGGTGCAGGTCCTGCTCAGCCACAGAACCAACTGGGTAACTTTGGGCAAGTCGCAATCTCAGCCCAGCCTACCTCACAGGGTTGTTGTCAGAATAAAATGGAGAGCAGGAAGAGAATGATGTGAACCATCCAGAGTGCCCTTGGGCTCTGAGGCAGTATAGAGGTGAAATAAATGAAGAAGAAGAAATAGTAATTTCTCATTAAAAACCTCCCCAATGTTACCAGCTTAAATCTCAATAAAACCAGGCTGTAATAGTTCACATTTGTCTAGCAAGTTGTGGAGTTTTGCAAGCATCTCAGTCACCAGCTACCCCATAAAGTGTCAGATCAGGACAGCGATCCCCTTCCGCGCAGGAGAAGCCTGAGTTAGAGGCAAAGCAGGCTGCACCGGCCCAGCGAGTGGCCATCTCATGCACGCCTGGTTTCTTTAAAAGGCAAAATAAAACTGCAAAAACACTCTGAGGAGAGCTCACGGCATCGCAGAGCTCTCTGCAGCTGGCAAAAGCACAGAACCCGTTTCTGCTAAGCAGGAGCCTGAAGAGAAGCCCGTATGTACCTAGAGAAGTTAGCAAATTTGCTTTTTGCATACTGCACAAACGGCGCTCTTTTCCCTTCTTAACATATGCTTGCAGGCACCCGTAGTGAGTTAACGGCACAGAGGACTTGGACTGGGGACCTCCCCACGCTCAGCCAATATGTCATAAAGGTACAACTCAAAGGACGACAACACCACTTTCGAATTCAGGCGTGACATTCCCCGCAAGAACCACCAAAAATTGAATGAAACCTCCCCGCAGGTGGAAAGCCAGCACAGTGGGCCGGTGAATTTCAGCACAGCCTTCTCTGTGGTCCTTGCCTTCTACGTGCGGGGAGGTGCGCGTCCAGGGGGCGCATTTCAGTGCTTCAGTGTTCGGGTCCTCCATGCCTTCCGGAGGAGCCCCAAAGGGGGCGCTTGCGCAGTGAAGGGGAGCCATCTAGTGGCTCCTCTGGAAGGTGCAAGCCCCGGCTTGGACCCGCTACCCCTCCTCTGGCAGGTCCCGGCTGCCATCTATCCTGCCAGAGTGGGTAGGAGCGTTGGTGGGGAGAGACCTTGCCTGCTGTGGGGGGAGGAATCGCCCCACAGCTCCAGCCAGTGGGGGCAGAGTAGGGGCACGTGGCCAGAAATTCTATGGAAATCCCCGTGTTGGGGTGGAGGTGAGTCAGGCACTTGTGGGCAGCTTGGCAAAGGGAAACAACCACAAGGAGGCCAGATTCTCTCGGAGACAAGGCTGGGAGATGCAGGGAAGATACGGATGTGTGCGGGGGAGCCCTTGGCCGCGAGGACGCCTGCCGCTCGGCCGTCTGGACCCCGAATCCAGCAGAAAGGCCCTGCTGAGCTGCCCCATGGGTCCATGGGGTCACATGGCTGGCTGGCAGGCAGGCAGGCAGCCAGCCTCCCCCACGAACCCACAAGCAGGACACGAGGCCGACAGCACCCCCATGTTCCCCAGCAACCTGCGCACATGGGCAGACTGCCTCTCTTCCCCACCTCCACCACCAGAAAGAAACCATGCGCAGGTGCTTGCTTCTTGGGGCTCCCAGAAGCTCCCTGCCCCTTCCCCTGGCCACATCCCTCCCTGATTTTGCGCACCACCCCCCGCCCCCCCAAGGCTGCAATTCCTTCCTCGAGGCTGAGTGACTGGCTGTAAAAGCTTTTGCCGGGCTGGTACTTTGTGTTTTTGATTCTACACTATCTTTGCCTCTGGCTTCACTCACCATTGCCTTGCAGTTACTAAGAGACTCTCCAAAGCTGAATCCGACCCTTGGGTTGGGAACAGCTCCCCACTCCCGCTGGAGGGACTGGCCTCGTGCGGCGTTGTGACTAGGAGCGCGGGACTGGGACTCTGGGCGCTCATCCCCGCTCAGCCATGGAGCTCACCGGGTGAGCTGGGGGCAGCCATACTCTCTCAGCTCAGCCTACCTCACAGGGTCGTTGTTGCTGAGAGCAGGAGAATTATGTAAGCCAGCTTGAATTTCTTGATAGGAAAAAAGGCAGAACAAACAATAATAAATGCATAAACTACAGGAGTAATTCCCTGATGGGCAAGGGCATGCACGATCATTTCTGCAGCATCTAAAGCTCCTCCAGTCCTCCAAACCTTCAGTCTCTGTGTGTTTGTGTGAAGGTATTAAACCCAGCCAAATTTACCTCTTGGGCACTGAACTCGCACTATTTACTACTATGCCATGGCAGAGACCTTTCTCTTCAGCAATAAACACGCTTCTGGACATTCCGTGACTTCCCAGCCGCTCAAGCCTAGGAAGCTCAGGCCTTGCAACAAAAAGCAAACAGCCCAAACGCCCCCCCCCCCCCCGTCCTTGGCTCTTCTGGAGCCGCAGAAAAAGCAACTGTCTTCCGGGTCAGCCGTGGAGGTGAAACCCCCAGGAATGGCAGCAAGGCACCAAGCGGCTATTGGGATACACCATCCAGGCCTCCATGGAAGAGACATGTCAGTGTGAGATTCCAGCGTCACAGCATCACCACATGCCCAGAAACACGGAGCACCAGACCAAATTGCAGGAAGGAAGCAAGGAAGGCTCGGTTAGAGGAATGCCGTGCCGCACAGAAAGGTCGGCCTACAGCCCCTTCCTCCAAGCCACTCAAAGACCCCTTTGAGGCCCCACGGCCTCCTAATGGTCTGCCTTTCAAATGCTCTACCTTTCAAACGTACTCCAGGTTTCTTGTGTTGTACTTGACCCGTGCGCATTCACTGTCTCCTATTCCATGATTGGAAAGCACCCTGTAAACACATTTGAAGTGGGGTACAAAAATTGCTGCAATACGGGGGGGGGGCGGACATCTCTGTGGCCAGCCCCTGGACGGGGGAGCGGGGGCTGATCTCCGGGTCTCCCGTCTAAACCCGAAGCGCGCCCCCCACCCCCCCAAGCGGGAGGCCCGGCTCCGCGGGAGTGCCGGGCCCGGCTCGCTTCGCTGGGGACCTGCTGCCCCCTGCTGGCGGCGGGCAGTCACGGCCGCTTTGCAGCCACAACTAACTGCCGGACACATTCAAAAGTCCGTTTCAGCACTTGTGGAGACGGTGCGAGCCCAACAGGCTTGCCCAGCACCCTCTGGGCCGCACAGGTGCACCTCAAACCATTCTCTGGGTCCTTTCCACTGTTCCTTAGCAGAGAACTGAATACTGGGAGAGGTTTGTTCAAAACATGCGGCAGCACTGCAGCTTCCACTGGAGAAGAGATCCCAGCGGCTCCCCCCCTCCATGCTTCAAAGGGCTTCCTTCCAAGAGTGAGGACTGAATGCAAGCATTTCTCCCCCGGTCCACCGCCTCATCATCGCCAAATATTATTCCCACCAGGAGCTGAGATGATCCCTGAAGTCTCTGCTTCTCCCAGTGGGCCCAACTCCTGTACCTTGGGCTGCAGCCGGTCGTTCAGCAACCAAACTGCGGAAACCTTTCTTGCCACGGAGGCAAAGTGACAAAGAAACCCTCGGCCATTACATTTCTGTCCTTTGGACTACTGTCACAGCCAACAGCAGCAAGGAAAATGGAAAATGAGGGGGCTGCCTTTGATTTCCCCCTCCCAGACACAGAAGGGCAGAGAAGCAGATCTGAGGGCACAGCAGCAGCTAGAAATCCCACCCCTCCAAAAGCCTCCCCCAGTCTGGTGCCCACAAGTATGTGGGACAGTAACTCACAGAGCCAGCAGTGCTTGGAAGGGCCCCTCTGGGAAAAGCTACGCGATTCAGATGCGTTCATTCCAGCCACATTCTTTTGCCAGCAACTGTTCCTGTAGTTTGCAAGTTCTTCCTTCAAAAAGAGAGCCCACCTTCTCCCATGCACCAATTAAAGCCCAAACAGGGCAAACCTGTAACAGTCTCATTGTGAGCAGCAACCTCACCTGGAGAAGAGAGGGAGGGCCACATGATGCAGAGGAGGCCACGGGGCTTGCCGACCGCTTCAGCAAGCCGTTGAAAGCGGTGCATTGGTTCTTTGGCAGCGAGATCCTTCCGGGGCAAAGGTGGGGAGGAATTCTTTAGTCCAAGCACAGTGCAAGACCCTAAGCTGCTACCTCTCAGCTCCAGAAGTGATAAGCTCACATTCCCCAAAGCTCCTTATTTTCCTCCCCAACCCACCCTCATTTATCTAAACTGCAACCCTTTACAGGCAGAGAACTGTGTATACTGCAGAATAACTTTAAATTGCTTTGATTAGCTGGGCATCATAGGCCAGTCCATGGGGAAGCACAGGCTGTTTCCCGCTGAAGCGGAAAAGCCTGCTTGCTTTGAACAAAGCCCTTCACATGCCAACGAGTACACGACAGATTATTTATTTTCAAACGCTGGAGACGTCGCTGGACGCATGATGCGCCACTGAGCAACGGGGCAGCTGCAGAGCCTCTCGCCCGCCGGCAGTCCAGGCTCTGCCTCCGTCACGAACAGGGGGTCCCATGATTTTCAGGGCTTGTGGGTCGGACCCCGTCACATCTCCGCAGCAGGACTGTCCAGAGGTGAGGCAGCCACCTGGGCAAGGAGCGCTGCCCTGCAGCTTCAGATGCCAACTGCAGCTGCCCAGTCCAGAAGGCCTTGCCCTTTGCCAATGACTGGGGCGAGAGTTGGCACTTCTCCTGCGACTCGCTGAGAAACAGCCAGGAGAGAAACTCGGGGCGTCTGCCCAGTACTGGAGCTGCTGAGCACACCATCAGGTTGGACCTCGACGCACTGCACCTGCTCCAGGGCGAAGCTGCTCTTCTGAGCCCCTTCAGGTGGAGCCTCTCGACCAGGCAGGAGGGCTGTCGGAGGGCAGAACGCGCCCATCCGGTGTCCCTGCGGTTGTGTCCCAGGCCCTCGCCTCCAGCTCTGGGCCAGGATCCCGGACCCCTCTACTCCGCCTCCATCACGCCTGCATCTTCTGGTTCCTCCCCATCAAAGTAGCGCTCTTCCTCATCCCGTGAGATGATGTCCAGGTTGTCGAAGTCTGGGTTCTCGTCAACCTCGCTATGGCGGTGGTGGTGATGGGGTGGGAGAAGGGAAAGGGGAAGGGAGGACACGTGACCACAGGGAGGGTGTGTGTTTGCAATACAAAAATTAGAGTGCCTTTTCGGTGGGATATCACTCTAATAAACAAACAAACAAACAACCAAGCAGCCATCTGCTCCGGACTTCGGAGGAAGGGCAGAGGGCCGCTCTGGCCCCACATTAGCCAAAAGCCCCCTTCTTGCCTCCTGAGCGCTCTGTGAGGCGATTCCCCCTCAAGGAGGGGAAGGGTCTTTCTGCATGATGAGCAGCTCAGGGCGAGAGTTTGCAGCTGCGCCGGGACCCCCGAAAAAGAGAGAACTGCGAGTTCTCTGTACTGACAAGAAGACCAACAGGGGGCCCTAGATCAACTCGAGCCAGAGCTTTCCCTCAAAGCAAAAGTGACGAACACTGTCCCACTTTGGGCACATCCTGAGAAGGCAGGACTCCCTGGAGAAACACAGAAACAGAGCGAGTCAGAAGGGGCCTCCCGGGCCATCTAGTCTGACCCTCGGCTCCAGCCGGCTCCACTCATGACATGCCTACCACAGGGGAAGACCACCATGCTACAGAAACTCAAGGGCAGAAGAAGAGGAACCACCACCAGCGGATGGAGGAACTCCATCGAGGAAGTGCAGCCTGGAGTTCACAAGAGCTAAGCAGGGATGTCAAGGATGGCACGTTTTGGAAGGCGTTCCTTGACAGCTCACAACAGTGACAGAAAAGGAGGGAAACCTTCCTGCTCATAGGCTTTTCAAGTTCACTTCCAGAAATCCTTCTCTGATTTAGCAGGGCCCTAACACAAAACCCAGCTAAGAATTGTTTTTCATTTCCTTTTACCATTGCTAACCCTCACCATTAGAAAGAGAAGCCTGGAACTCCGTCATGATTTCCTCCTCCGTGGGAATGGACCGGGCAAAGGAAAAGCCCGGCTCTTGGCCAGGCCGGGAGCCGCGGTGCAATGAATCCTGGAGGGGTCCGTTTACTGGAGGCCGCTCTGCCTTCTTGAACACGGGGGATTTTAAGCCACCGATGAGAGCGTGTTGTAAAGCAGGGATCGGGGAAAGCAAACCGCAGGCCATGGAGAGGGCAGCCCTGAACCACGAGCCTCATTTGGGCTCACAGAGGCTTGTGCACCTGAGGCAAAATCCTGACTTCACCTTGCCCGTGAAAGCGGCCCCCTCCATCTCAAGTCCCTGCCTCACCTGTAGTCGAAGTCTCCATCCTTGCCGTTGAGGAAGCGCTGGTACATCCGGCTGGTGAACTCCTCCCGCAGAATTGCTTTCTCCTCCTGGTCGGGCACCCACTCATCCATTTCTGAGTCGGAGGCTTTGCCTAGTGGGTGGAGAGGCTGGACGGTCAGTTTCGGGAGGAGCCCGGAAGACCCTGGCCTGGTCGTTCAGTGGGGTGGCTTCCTGCAGGTCGGAGGCGCTTGTGCAGAAGGCTGCCCACCCGCCAGCCAAGGCCAGCAGCCCCGTCCACCCACCTGCACGGCAGAGGCCTAGCACAGCTGGATGGGACGGGAGGCGCCTGAGCAGCTAAGTGTGAAAGGGGAGCCGGCGCTCACAATGCTTGAGGAACACTGGCTTGCCACTTTCCCTGGCTGGCTGGGGAATGAGCAGCGGAAGCACTCCACTCCACACCCACACGTTCCTCAGTGCTGGTCTGCCCACCCCCGGGGGCCAACCCTGAACCCGGCGGCCTCTGCCAAGGGAGAGACCAGGCTCCCAGCCTCCCTCCCAAACCGGGCGGGTCTTGCTCTCCCTGACCAACCTTCCCCGTTGTCGTTGCTGCTCTCCTCCTCCTCCTCCTCCTCGCAGGCCTCCTCCTGCTCCTGCTGCACCTGGAGCCGCCGCTGGATGACCTGTTCCTGGTAGGAGTCCAGCAGGACCGCCGAGAGGGAGCAGGAAGCCCCCTCCTTGAGGCTGCCCAGCGCCTGCAGCTCCTCGTCACTCAGGTACTGCCCGATGTACTGCTCATAAAGAAGCGGGTCCCTGCAGCGCATCTGCTCGTCGCTGAAGTATTCCCCATCTGCACGTGAGAGAGAGGCTGCAGACACGGCTGCTGGCAAGGGAAGGGCTGCACAGAGAACAGGCGGGGCAGGCACATGCCAGCCCCCGCCCTAGCCCGCCCCATCGTGCTCAGCAAGGATCCAGGGAAGCCTGAGACCACGGCTCGCCACGCGTTCGTTCAGTGGCATCTTCCATCCCCAAATCAAAGCTGCCAATTGGCCTGCCTCTAGGACCCCCCCCCACCCCCCGCCCGACTTTAGCCCTGCAAAACTCTAGAGCAGGGATGGGAATCTGCAACCGGAAGGGAGGCGAAGCTGGCCCTGTGTGGGGGAGGGAAACCGGTGGCCACTGACAGCACCGTGACCAATCCTGGCCGTTCACTGTGCCAGGGGAGGCAGGCAGTTCGGTGCCTCTCCAGTCATGAACAGCAGGGCTTGGCCGGGACTGGGAAGAGCAGCTGCCCTCCCCTAGTGGCCGATTCGCCAGCTGCAAACAGAGCTTGGTGTCTTTGTCCCAAAGCCACTCAGCTGGCTTGGTGAGGGGCCGCCAGCCAACTGCCTGGCTTCGTGGGGTATGTCCCCCATGGGGCGGCCTGCAACACACAAGGATGCTTGGCCAGCACTGGGAAGAGGGGCTGCTCAGCCTCGTGCCATCTCTTGCCGCCTGCCTAGTGCTGGGAATGATGGCAGAAAAATCCCACACATCCAGAGGGAGCCAGTCTGAGGAAGGCCGAGCTAATATCAACTGGCTGCACCGCTGCTGCCCATCCTGGCCGCCAGCAAAGCAATGGAACGGAAGAGAAAGACGCGAGAGAGGAGAGGAAGGGACAGGCCACCCAACCAGGGCAGAACCAGGACAGGCCCTGAGTATCTTGGTTCTATCTCCCCCAGCCTCATCCTCGTGCTACTGGGCACACGGCCAGCCCCTTCCCAGAGCACAGAGTGGCGCACCAGAGCTCAGGGCCCGTACCTCTGATGAGCTGCTGCAGAGCGGCATAGCGCTTGTTCCGCACCCGCGTGTGCCGCGTTTTGCCCAGGCCTGCCCTGCGCACTTCGGCGCAGTAGAAGTCTGCCTCGTAGTTGCCAGACAGGTGCTGGAAGCAGGGCAGGTGCTCCTCACGCAGGACCGTCCGGAAGCGCTCCAGGAAGACCAGGGGCTTCGAGCGGTACAAGTCCTGCAGGATGGCCAGCTTCTGTGCAGGCGTGAAATCCGGCTCGTCCTTCTGTTGGCTCCGCACCGCCAAGCGGCTGTCGGCGACAGCGCGGAACATGGCAAGGACGGCGGGATCCTCCTCCTCGATGGGTCCGGGGGCCACCACATTGCAGGCAGCAGGTTCCTGCTCTCCACCATCCCTGCGGGTCTGTGGGGCATCAGAGGCCTCCTGGCCGCCTGGGATGCTGCCATCATAAGCCACAAAGGCTGATCTTCCATGGACCAGGCAATTCGACTCCATGGCTCCACTTGCATCATTTTCAGCTGGAGTGCTGCTCTGGAACTCCCCCCACCGGAAGCAGCGGGCCTCTGGGCCTGTCAGCAGAAAAATCTGAGCTTCAGTTCTGTGACTAGCAGAACTCCACCTGTTAACAGAGTGGTTTGAATTCCATATCTGCCCACCCCACTGAGAGGGTGTTTTAGATGCCCCACTCCAACTCAGAGGGTGGCCACACATCTCCGAGGCCCTGGGCATCTTCTCCCGCTTGGAACTGGGGCAATGGAGAGAGATTCACTGCTGAAAAGCTATGTGCATCAAGGATACCTGGTTCTGACTCTTCACTGTGAGACAACTGCAAGGATACACGGGGAACCTCACTGCTCTTCGGCGAGCAGCCTTTGGCAGCTGCGGTTTCCATTGCCTCTTCTGCAGAGTGCTGCAGCTGTGCACACTCAGTTTTGTCCGGGAGATCTGTTTCCTGCATCTCTGTGGCAGGAGGACTGTCTGGAATTTGCTTGCTCTATGTTCTTCAGGGAGTTAACACCTGGAAAGACAGAGAAGCTCTTAGCAGTGCTGGTCAACCCGTTACCAAATGTTATCAAGAGATGAATAACATCTCACAGGACAATTGTGTGTGTGTGTTGACACAGAAATAGCACTGTGTCACTCCTGTGTAAGCATCTATAGGATTACGGCTGAAGACAACATGTGCTGGACTATGGAAACCAACAGTCACACTAGAGCAGAGAAAGGAAATTCTTAACTGCCTAAATGTGTAAAAATTGCAGGGGAAAAACAGGCTGATAGGAACAAAGACTCATGAGGAAAGTGCTCTGCAAAAGACACACTAGCAGATGAAGTTGTTCAAGTTTGTACACAATAGGAACTTTTGAACGGAATAATAATGACTTCCAGGAAACAGTGACATGACAGAGTTAAATATAAGTTTACATAGTGTGGAAGAAGAGAAATGAGAGGTATTTTAATTCCATGTCTCATAATCTTAGAATCTAAAGAGGTTATGCTATGTAGCTGATTGACTGGAGATTCAGGACAGATAAAAGGAAGGAGTTCAGCACACAGTGCATGGTTAAGCTGTGGAATTCAGTTCCACAAGATGTAATAGTGATGGCCGCTGATCTGGACAAATGGAGACCAGACAAATCCATGGAGGAGAAGCCTCTTTCTGGCTGCTAGTCCAAATGGCTATATGAAGACTCTGGTGTCAGAGGCAATGAGACACCTGTATAGCAGTTGCTGGGCAACACGGGTGGGAGGGCCCCGTGGCACTAATGCCCTCCTTGTGGGCTGGCCGCTCAGTAAAAAGAACATGGGACTTGACGGCCCTTGCTCAGATCTAGCAGGGCTGTTCTGAAGTTCATTTGCTAAGCCCTGGGGGAAATGGCTTAATGCTGGAAGCATCAAAGCAACCAACTCTCCAGAGCCCATTTGTTCTACTGGACTGGCACTTCGGTTCAAGCCCCGTTTCAGTCACAAGCTTCCTGGGGTTGCTCCCATCGCGCTTCACCCGTGGGAGAGAAAAACCTTTCCCTTTTCCCCCGCCTGTAAGACAGCTCTTGCCCTCTGCCCTTTTCTTTTGTCAAAACAGCACAGCTGCACCGCAGGGCGCCGAGGGAGGGCAGATGCTGTACAAAGAGCGCCGTGAACGGGCGGGCACTTGAACCCTCGCCTCTCCGGTCCTTCTCCAGCTTGGCACTCGCCAAATGCGTTGGGGTACAACTCACATGCTAGGAGTTGCCGTCCAACACATCTGGGGCATGCCAGGTTGGGGGTTCTGCTTTAACCACTGCGCCACAGGGGAAATCCTCATGCGAAGGCTCTGCCTGAGCCCGCAGCTGTTTCTCGTCCGCCCCCTCCCAAGCACACACGACGCAGGGACACGGTCCCAAAGGAGCGAAGGGAAATAAAACCGAAGGCACTCGAGCAGACAGTCCGTGGCCGTTGCCAAATGGAGGGGACCCATTTCAGTGCAACACCACCAGGCCCCCACCCCCGCCCGCCCAGGGACGTGCGACGAACAGGACTCACTCCGGGAAAGGGGCGCGAGAGGGCCACCCCCGTTTACATGCGTCCCGCGCCTCGGATCTCGTTCACGGAGAAAAGCCCACGACCCAAATACGTTCTCTTGGACACACTTCCGGTTCCTGCATTGCGTCGAAGAATGAGTTCCCTCCCTGCGGGAAACGCGGCCTCAGGAGACTTTGGTTCCGGGAGGATTCGAATGCACGGGAGGATGGAAGGAACCGAGAGAAGCGCGGTGGGAGGGGGGAATCGTGCAGCACGTCGTGGACTTGCATGGGGGGAAATACCTCGGAAGCTAAAGTGTCTGTGTATTAATTGTACCTTCGCAACCCAAGCAAGGGAGTGTGCCAAAAATGGTTCGAAAGATAAAATAATCAAATCTAACAGAGTATTTTTATTTATTAAAACATTTTTTAAAGGTACATTCCTATGTATTGACAGAGAAAAGTGTGCGATTGCAGGTCTACTTGCTGGCTATGGCATGCTGGGAGTTGTAGGCCTTTTTTCCTGCATAAGCTTGCATAGGAGTAACCCCTCAAAAACAACCTTTAAAAGCCATAACAATTAAAAAAGCCAAGTTAAAATGATGAACCTTGACCTGTTCCCTGAAAGCAGTAAGAGGAGGGACCAGTTGCAACTCTCGAAGGAGCGCATTCCAGTCTGGGAGCAATACATGAGCAAATCCTCTCCAGCCAGCCTGGCAAGCAGGTCTCTGCAGGCAGCAATGCCTTCAAGAGGGCCTCTCCCTATAGACCCAAGAACTGAGCATGATCACCCCAAATATGACCATCTCTCTGATAGCCATTACATTTGGAGCTTTAACAGTTAAAACCAAGGCCTTGAATTGAGCCAGGAAAACAAGTGATAACTGAAGCAGAACTTTTCAGTATTTGGGGGATATGATCACAAGACTCTGTGACACTTTGCACCTTTGCAAGCTCTCAGATGTTCCGCATAGAGTGCATTGCAATTGTCTGCCAATGATGTAACCAAGGCATAACCACTGCCGCTCAGATTGCCTCCAATTTGGCAATTTTGTCACTAGCCTATCAAACATAGCTGTGAAAAGACATTCCTTGCGCATGTAAGATACAGCACAGGATCCAGGAGGATGTCCAGGTCCAGAGGATTGCAAGAGTTGGCAGTGCTAATATTAGATCAACTTCTTGGAAATTAGGAACAGCTCCAAATATTAAAATTCTACTATGTTTCATAGGTTGATGGTAGGAATACAATTATGCCCAAATGTCATCTTACACACAAAGGTCCACTGAAGCAACACAACAGTTCTGTGTAATTTTAAAGGGAAATGCCCCATGATAAAAGCATTTGTACATCCCATTGTTTCAGTTAGTAGAGCTGGAAGAAGCAGGAGAGATGATGTGCAGCATAAGACAGACATATTTACTTAAGTGGAGAGAGAAATGCTATTAAAACCATGTTAATTAAGTTGTGCTTCTCATTCTTTCTCTAGAGAAGTTTTTAATCTAGTATTTCTGTGGTTTTGTATTTTTCCTTTGTAATTATTTTAAGCCGTAAACTGTCTTGAGGCTGTCTAAAAATGTTTTAAAATGAACACCGCCAATAGGAAAATGTAGGACAATAAACCACTTCAAAACAGAGCTTTGAAAGTGACTAGAACCACCAGGGTGAAAATTTATCAGTACTGCAGTAAGGATTTTTAAATGCTGCAATGAAAATGTGGGGAATGAAAAGGCAAAAGAATACACCAGACTCCAAATAGTTTAAAGTTCAATATTCACTCTTTTTTTTCTCCAAATACAAAAAGCTGTTACAATTCAACTCAACACAAAGCATGTGCAAAGTTACAGAAACTTAGACATTGTATAAAAAGTTACACATTTAAGATGATTTAACCCTCGGTTGTTTTCTCCTCTCCTGTATTGAGCAAAAAGGAATTGTTACCTTGATGAAAATATTAACAGCTGCTGACCCACAGTAAAAAGTTACAGAAAATCTAAAAATAAAAACATAATTACCATAAGATAGCCATCTCTTCTCCCTCCAGTTTTAATAGTTATTTGCAGAAAAGACGGATAAAAACACCTCAGAGACAGGTGACACCAAACTGCAGGAAGTTTCCGAAATGACTCGAATTTATGACCACTATGTGTGAGGCTGGGTTGAAGAAAAAGGGTGGTAATAAATTCTAGGAAGGCCCTCGCAAACTTGCCGTCCCCGCAAACTACCATAGAAAGTTGGATACTGGGATGGATCTGGCCCTAAAAAGTACAAGGATGTAAGGCTGAAGAATCTAGCTTCTTTCAGAATCAGAATTTTTTAAAAAGGAAAAAAAATGTCTTCAACAAGGAGAGACCAAGAAATCATGTAACTTCCTCGTGAAGGATGGTACAAAGGGAAGGAAACATGCCTCTAGCTGTACAGTAAAAACTCAGCCGCCCTCAAGAACTACAGAGAGGAATAAGGGTAGAGAGACTACTTCCGGATCTCCCGAGACTCAGAAATGCCGACCGACATGCCAAAAGTGGCGCAACGAGCTGCTCTCTGCAGGGAGGCCGTGCAGCCATCACTGAGCGCTGGACCCGCCCTGTGTGGTGCCTGTGTAGCTCCCGTAGTCGTAGCTGCTGTAGTACGGGGGCCACTGGCTCTGGTTCTGGTTCTGGTAGTACTGGCTCCACTGCTGGGCATACTGTGGAGAAGGAAGCGACACGTCGTGACGGCTGAAACCCTCACCCGGCAGCACACCCGGCCCATCTGACGTGCTCACTTGTAGTTTTATCCACGACTGAATTCCTGCGGACCACTCTCAAATGATGCCAAGTCTGTGTTCTCCCATCCTTGTGTCTGGACTGCCTGCAAGGTGTCCTTCAGGGAGAGCTACTTTGCACAAAAACTCTTCCTTGCTTAAAGAAGCAAATATATCTGCGTGCACTCATGCTAAAGCAGGGTGGAGAGTCCCGCAATCAGTCACAGAGCACACGAATTCGTAAAGACAGGGTTGCATTTGCTCAATATTGGAAAAGTGAGGAGCTGCCCACCGATGGACTGATTGTAAGAAAGATCTTGGGCGGTGCAGAAATGGATAGACTGACTTTATTGTTGAAGGAGAAAGAGGACACTGACTTCTATCGAACTTGGGATTCTTTCTATAATTGGCTGGAGAAATGGGACTTGGCGTAAACTTAGAGATGTTTTCAAATAATTATAAATTGATTTGAATTTGACTTTAGAATGTTAAAAAATATGTAGTAGGAGGTTGACCCAGTAAATCCGATGTATGTGATGTTTGATGTTTTTAGTGTTAGTTTAAAATTTTAATAAAAATTTATTTAAAAAAATTGTAAAGACTGTTAAGCTGTGTGTGTGTGTGTGTGTGTGTGTGTGTGTGAGTGCGTGCGCGCGTGCGCGCGCAGAATGCTTAACTGCTGAGAACCCAGAAAACTGTCCTTTGCACCCACGGTTTAATATGCCACTTTTGTATCCTGCTCTTCTTCCTCCTCCTGCATCCAGGAGTTCAAATCAAGGATTTAGCTCAACAAAACCATGAACTACGATGAAATAGCGTAACTGAACAAAATCTGAGCCCAGCTCTCCCCAGTCATGTCCAACAAACGCACCTGTAACTACACCACACTGACTAGTTTCCCAGAAGCACAGAAGTAATGCCATTTTCCCTTTTTTCCCAGTCTGCAGAAGTTCCGAAATGCAAACCCTGGCTGAGCACTGCCCCACTGTGGGAAAGCAGCCGATGTCTGGCCCAGTCCAACACTCCCTGCCAGGCCAGGCCAGGCCAGGCCAGGCCAGGCGGTGGTCCCCTAAGGTACCAGGAAGGCCACCAGATCCCTCCTCACCTACCTGTTGGTATTGGTTGTAGCTGGGCTGATTGTAGCTTGGTGGGGTCGGGGCTGGAGCCGGGGCTGGAGCCGGGGCTGGAGGTGGTGGGGGCTGGGTGTAGCTTTGGCTGTAACCACCGTAACTCCCGTAGCTGTAGCTAGGAGCTGTATAACCACCTGGGCTGTAGCTGGCTGGGGGGGCACAGGGCTGGCTGTAGCTCGGCTGTGGAGTACAAAAGAATCATTTGCTCAAGAAACGCTCTCTCTCTCTCTCTCATACACAACACACATTATGGCCGATCAACAACTCCTGGTCAAGGGCTGCTCGGAACCACAAGACTTTGAGAATACAGAAAACTTGGGGATGAACTGTCATCTCACCTACAGTTCACTCTACATTAAGAAATTGCCCTCGTTGGCTTGAAGATCACCATGCACTGCAAAGTTACTTCCAAACCGTCCTTCCAGAGGAGGGCATTAAGTTTATTAACTTAAGACCAGGGAGCCATGAACCCCAGGTTGGCCATGCTGCGCCCAAGAGCAATAGGAGGAAGGAAGTAACTTGCCTAGAAGACGACGGGCATTTGTCTGCAGTAGAATAATGAGGAGGAGGAGGAGGAGGAGGAGAGAAGAGGGGAAAGGCCGGTTCTGACTCAAGACAACACAAGCTTCCTCTCTCGCTGCCTCTCTGGGGAAGACTGCCAACTCTCCCCAGACAGCAGCCTGGCTCGAGGGACAGACACAAGCCCTACCTGTGGCCCTGGGTTGTAAGTACTGGGCGGGGCACTGGCGGCGGGAGCAGGAGGTGCGGGTGCCATATTGCTGCCACTCTTGTAAGCGTTCTGGTTATGTGCTGGGCTGTAGCTGCTCTGCGGCTGGTTGCTGCGGGTGTAGCTCCCCCGGCTGTTGTTGTTGTTGTTGTCCCGGGTTCCACCTCCCCAGCGATTCTGGTTGTAGCCACCCCTGTTGAAGCCTGAATGGACAAGGGGTAGATCCGGAGCTCATGTTAGAACAGCGTGCACAGAATTCAGAGCACTGACTTCTGCATGGCCTGGGCTCTCGGCTTATCTTCCATAAGCATGCATTAAAGGCTAGCTTCAGAGGGAGCACGTACTTTTCAGACTGTGGGCTGTGACGGATTTCTGAGCGGATCATGCAAGGAGAGGTCCACCCAACCATTTCTGGCTGTTTTCTCCATTTTATCAGGCTAACAACATCCCATTAGGCCCCTTTAATAAAGTGAGGGACACAGACCTAACTCAGACAGCTATGATCTTAAGACAGGTATTTGCCCTGCCGCACAGCCCTTTCTCAGTGCGGAATAATGAAATGTGGATGTCTTCAATTAACCAGTTTCCCATTCCATCAGAAGAGGGATGTGACTAATCCCATTTTCCAAATTCGGATGATATGGAAACTATGGCTCATTGGAAACTTCCAGAAAATTGAGTGAGTTTACAAGTTGGTCACACTTTCAAATGTTTGAAAAGCAGAGATGAACTCATGGGGCAACAGTTGTGCTAGGACCAAGCGACGGTGTGCCCAACCCTGCAGGCCAGGGGTGAGCAAAAGGCTGATTCCCAGACGGTTTGGACTTCAACTCCTGGAAAGCCCTGGCAGCACGGCCAAAGGATACGAATGCTGGAAGTCTCAAACGCCTGGCGATCCACTTTGGGCTCACCTGCCACAGGGAAGAGTGCTCGGCCATAGGAAAGCCCTCCTTCATCAGAAGTAAATTTTGCCGCAAAGGGAAAGGGCTCGCTGTGCAGGGATGCCCAGCAATGGCACGCCCTCCCCCAGGTGGGTGCGATCTTGCAATGCCAGGCACCGAGCGCTTTTATTCACCCGGGCATTTTAATCTGTTGCAAACTTTTTTAAAGGGTAGCCTCTGTTTTATTCTTTCATGGCACAACTGTCCTGAAATCCTTGTAGGAAGAAGGGAGACATATAAATACATTAAACACACACACAGTATGAATGTGGTTTCTGCCTTCTGTAGAACTCCAGACGTGGGAAAAAACGCGTTTACATCATTTTTTTAAAACTTCTGTGACAATTCCCTAACTGATAAACTGAATCCCCAAAACCAGAGTGCCTGCTTCACACCAACGCAACGAGTTTCAGCATTCTTTCCAAGAATGGGCAGCCACAAGCCACACACACGTTCCAACACCAGCCCAGCCCCTGCTGCAGGCTCACCTCCTCCTCCTCCTCCTCCTCCTCCTCCTCCTCCGCCACCGCCGCCGCCTGCTCCGCCACCACCTCTGAAGCCTCCCCTGAATCCTTCTCCGCTGCCGCCGCCGCCGCCACCGCCGCCTCGGTTCTGGAAGCCACCTCGACTGCCCACTGGGGGCCCTCTGTTATCGAAGCGCTGAAAGCCGCCGCCACCGCCGCCTCCACCACGGCCACGGAAGCCGCCGCCCCGGTTGTCAAAGCGCTTCTCGGGTGGGGGGCCGGCCTTCTTGCCTTCCTCATTGTACTGCCTCACCAGCTTCTCGGCTTCGTCCCGCTGCAGTTCGATGTAGATGACGGAGTCAAGGAAGTCTCCTGCTTCTGGCAGCGTGAAGTTGGCTGGCAAGCAGGGAGAACAGACAGACAGGCGTGTCAGTCCCCGGTGGGAGGGAGAAAGGTAGAAGAGAGGGACAAAGGGGGCGCTTACTCCAGGGCTGCACGGAGAAAAGGGAGAGAAGAGGAGGAAAAAGCAACGAGTGGGAAGATTAAGGAGACACGCCACAAACTACAATCGCTGATGCCCGTATGGTTTTGCTTCCCCTCTTGCCGCTACACTCCTGCCCGGGCATCTCACTCAACTCAAGCACAGGAACTCGGAGGGCGGAACCTCCCACAGCGACGCCCTTGCTCAGTTTCTATTACGGCTGGACTAAGGCTGTCGCCCAAGTCTTCCAGGCCTGGCCGCCATCCGCAGCACACACTCCCCAGGCTGGAGCCAGGGTGGAACCCTGTGCTTAGCTGGAAAGTGCAACGGCGGGCCCAGGGTTAACCAGTTCTCTCCGAGCCTAACCTGCGTCCCAAGACTATTGCCATGGCAAGGTATGCATTCTGGAGTCACGCATCTAGAGAAGAAAGCAGCCAGTAATTTCGCAGCCTTGAGCCCTACGCACCAGGGCTCGCTCCAAGCGCTGCCCCGCGGAGAGGTGAGGAGGCAATTCTAAATGTCCTGAGGCAAGAGCAGCTTTTTATGCCCTGGGGCCATCAGGGAACTGGGGTCGTCCCCTCCCTGCAAGCACAACGTTCTGCTCCAGTGAGATTTGGCCTGCCTGCACATGAGGGAGAAAGAAGGTGCTCCCACATCAGGGGCTCGCTGACTGATAACAGAAAAAGGATTTCCATGGGAGGCTTTCTCCCAAAGCAGCAATCCGATGCACACACAGTCCCAAGCATGTCCTGTCGAGCTGAGGAGGACTCACTTCCAAGTCCATCAGCCATACTTCAGTGATCTGGGGGACAAACAGAGCTTCTGTGTGGGCCTGACTGATTCCGGGGATGAGCAGGGTTTTCCTACTGAGATAAATGCAGCCTCAAGGCATCATGTGCCTTCAGTATTTATTTTCCTCACTGCAGAGTGGCGTGGGTGGGTGTTTATTGGCACCTTCAGTGGGAAAAGAAGGGGAAGCGATAACTATGGGGTAGAGGAGGTGGAAGGAAGACAGTGAGAACTACAGAAGTCTAAGTGATCGCTTTTGAGGAAGTCCTGTCACTAGACACGCAGCCACGGTGGTTTCCCCTCAGCACTGGTGTCATGGTGTCGGGGTCTTTTTCTAGGATCCTACCTTTCATTTCTAACACTGCGTGATCAGGCACATCCTTCCCCTCCTCGTCTGTGCGCTTAATTGTTCGATCTTTTAAATCCTCGTCCGTGGGACAAATTACAATAGCCTTGCGTTGGAAACCTTCAAAAGGGCGCATTTTTCGTCTCTGGGCAGATCCATAAACATTTGTCTAGCAATGGTGACAAAGAAGAGGCAAAAAACTAGTTGTTACTTGTCAGTCTGCTTTGTTTTCTTCCTAAAGGGAGCAAGGGTCCCCAAAGCAAGGATAAGACATGTCGGCGCCCCACCCGCCCACGGATGCTCAAGGATGTGCGTAGATCAGCAACTGTGCATGTGCCCATTTGGGAGTCATCCCCTGACAACTAACCTACCTTTAAGTCTTTTCTCCCCAGTTTGGAAAGATAAAAACAGCAACACAGTCCAGTAATTTGCAGCCTTTTGCAATTCAAATGAGATCTCCTGGGATGCCAGACTAACAGAACAGAGTCTGTTTTGTTCCGAAGGAAAGCTATTTACATTTTGAGGGGGAAGCTAAAGAAACAGTTCTGGATAAATTAAGTGCAACAGCAAAAGGGATATTCATAATCCATCCAATCTATTACGTTACTTAAACCTAGGAGAAGTACAGTCATCCAAGCACTGAAGTTAATGAAGTCTAGAAAGTTGATTTAACAGAATACTTGCCTCAAATAGTTGTTTTTTTTTTTAAATTGTGCCACCAAAGAAGACAGCAGCTGCCCCAGTGGGTCAAACCAAAATATTTACTTCATCATTAGATCCAACAGTGGCCAGGCAGACGCCTCCAAGACATCCACGAGCACAGCAGAAAGACAACTCCCTCGCTCCGGATGTCTCCAGAATCTGGGCTGAGCATCAGAGGCTCCATCTAATCATCATGGGCTCTTGCTGCACCTGCCCTACTCAAACGTACCCAATCCCTTTTTTAAGTCGCTTAAAATGGAACGGAATCCCTTTGCTACAAGGCTATTTTTGCTCTAACTGAATTACAAGATTTAAGGAAGAAAAGATGGCATTGTTATCTGACCCCTATTAACTGAAGCGAAGGGCTGGGGCTCGTCTTGATGTGAGAGAGTGACAGTGCTCACGCCTGCCCTTGCTGAGGCAGTGGTCCCGATCCTCCTTTTAAACGCAGGCCTTCATGAGGAGCCACTAGAACCTCCTGCATACAAACTGCAGCCCAACGACACTGTGTTGCTGGGGGAACAAGGTCTCCACTTTGCTATTCGCAACACTTTGCCATAGAAACCATCCAGAGGAAGCGCGTGGGGGGTGGGGTGGGGGCAGAAAGCAAGCGAGCCAGCCATCTTTGGAAACGAAGCCCTTACCTACCCTTCTTCCAGCACACCGGCAAACCCAGCGGCGCCGCTTAGCCTTGTGCCCCCCGGAAGACGGCACAGCGGCTGCTCTGCTGCTGAGCCGGGCTGCGCCGTCAGGAGGAGCCAGGGACGCTGCCCGAGGAAGGGCGAGAGCCGTACCTGATCCAGGATGTAGTTACGCTTTTTCCGTGCTGCGATTTGGATCAAGCGGTTCAGGCACTGTGTCGCTTGCTGGATGAGAACATCCCAGCGGCCGGCATAATTGCGCTGGCGGCGGAGTCCCATCACCTGAGAGAAGGTCAGCTGGTTAGGATAACCTGGCTGGGGGACACGTGCTCACCCCAGAGCCTCCGGTGCCTGGTGCGACATACACTCAAGTGCTTTGCCTGGGAGATTTCTGCATCTCACAAGGAGGAAAGCAATCCTTAAACGTGGACTTGGACGTTCCCAGTTCAAACTCACTTATTAGCTCTGGGTAACAATACTTGGCTTTCTCCACACGCACTCTCCACACCTTTACTTGGTAACCCTTCCAGCAGCCTGGTGAGGTAGGCTAGTATAACTGTCTTACCACTGCAGACAAAGGAATCAAACTAAATGAATCACCAATGTCCAAGCTCCCTAGTGTGGTTGTGACTCCAAAGACGGTGGCCCTGAAGGCTTCCTCGGAGCTCTTACTCTTTGCCGTTATGTGACTACAATGCTTCCTGGGACTCAGTCACCGTGTAAAGCACACCCCATTTTGCTAGGCTGCCTGAGAGCAGCAATACCTTCTGGGCAACATACAGCCTGGAGGAAAAACTACCGTGCAACGTCCACCACCCCGGCCCCACCTGCTGAGTGCAGCTGGGATGCAGAGGAGGGATGGCCAGAGGAGGGAATATGCACTACTATTGAAAGGAGGGGGACAGTTCCTGGCTGGTCCACTCACGATGTGGCAGCGACAGCGACGGCACCATTACACACGGAAGAGGGAATTCTGCAATGCAACGCGGGAAGGCCAAAGCGCCTCACTGCAAGAGCTGGCAAACCACCCCCACGCAGCACGCGAAAGAAATACACACCCACCGCGAGTCAAAGCGGGCTGGGCGAGCGGCCTGGGTCCCCAGCTGCTTCCAAAGCTGCGCCTTACCCTCATTTTGTCCATAATGGCGTTTGTTCCCAGAATGTTGTACTTCTTGTTTGGGTTGGCTGCGGCGTGCTTGATGGCCCACGTGGTCTTCCCAGCGGCAGGCAGCCCCACCATCATCAAGATCTGAAACACAGGGCAGGCAGCTTCACACCCGCTGCATCGCACCAGCTCCCAGCAGGTGAGCCGACAGCCTCGCTCCGCAAGGAGGGGCTGCATCGTGGAGCCGCTGCCTGCCGGGGTTCAGCAGCTCCGCTCGGCTGGGGGGGGGGTGCACGCAACACTGTCGCGCCCCGGGAGGGGCAGTCTAGAGCCCTGACAGGCCCGGCAGCCCAGGACACGGGGGCAGACCAAAGAGCTGCAGCAAGCAGGCACTCCCCCCGCCTCAAGAGGGACGACTTCACAAATCTGACGCCCACTCAGGGATGCTGGCCATTTCAGGGATGCCTCGCACCCCTTCAGTTCTGAGGCTTTGAAGAACCGCCCCAAAGCAGCCAAGATCTGCTCATCCCTGAATGCCCCCTCAACAAGCTGACAGGCCCGAGTTAACGGATGCTGCTCATCTGCGCTCACTCCTCGCTTGGTGGCAGCCTTGGTCATAACATCCGGGTCGCGATTTGCTGGCACCGGCACATTTGCACAAGCATGGCAAGTTCATGCCAGTGATTTTGCACGCACACACGCACGCACGCAAGCCTTGGTCTTCGTCAGAGGGACAGCCAACGCCTTTCCCGGGGTACCTACTTCACATTCCATTTTGCTCTTTGGTCCGATTGTCCCCCGAACGCGCTCGGACAGGGGCAGGTGCTGGATGAAGGTGAAGCCCGGCGGCACTGCAAAGAAGGGATCTTCCCTCTGGCCGAAGTTGAACTCGATGGCACAGTTCTTGACCAGAACATGCGGGAAGAGCGCCTTGCCGCCCAAGATGTCCTTCCGCAGGCGGTACGCCACCCCCAGCCACTTCCCATTCTTCATGAAGGACAGCTCAATGTCATCCCCACACTCGAAGTCCTAAAAACAGGGAGGGAAGAATTCACCAGTGCACGAGGTCCGCGGCAAGACACTCCCGTTGGGTCACACATGACGGCGGGGAGCTCGGCACCTGAAAGGGTCGGCATTCTCCTTCTGGAGGCATTAGACGACCCCCCAAGTAAACACTGGCCTCAGCATGACCCGATCTTTGGTCACGCGCAAGCTCCAACTTGGCTAGGTCTAGAAGTCTACTTGAGAGGCAGAGGGGTAGCTTCCATCAGACCTGAAGGCACACTCACCACAAGGCAGGTGATGATGTCATTCTCAGAAAAGGTTTCACCGTAATTTTCAAACTTGCAATTGGTGGATTTCTTCCCAGTGCCTCCGTAGCCGTAGGAAAAAGGTTCTTCACCTAATGAGAGAGAGAGAGAGGGAGAGAGGGAGAGAGAGAGAGAGAGAGGGAGAGAGAGAGAGAGAGAGAGAAAGAGAAAGAGAAAGAGAAAGAGAAAGAGAAAGAGAGAGAATCCACCAGAGACTCAAATATCACAGGAGTTTGGGATTTTCAGTGGTACCTTAAGCTGATGCCAATGGGGACCCAGCCCAAACAGGGCTATGACAACTGCCCATTCCAATCATGCAGTGGGTTGCATGTGGGGCTGCCACTGAAAATGACTAAGAAATTCCAATTGGTTCAAAGCAGGGCAGCAGGATTATGAACCGGGACCTACCACAGATCTGAGTGCATAACGCCAGAATACGTTCAGCTGCACTGGTCACTGGACCATTTCTGGGCCCAATGCCAAGCGCTGTTTTAACCTCAAAGCTCCTCAATGTCCGGGTTTACACCCTTCCAGCAGTAGCTCCCCAGCGGTGTATGAACTTTCCCAGAAAGGCTGGTTGCATATAACCTAGGTTATTTTTACTTTGGTGCCAGGTGAACATCTTTTCATTTCCCCGGGCTTACTTTAAGATCATTCATGTTAAACTTTGCTTTTTAACTAATAGGATTTTATCTTATTAGGTATATACTGGAGTTGGTATATACTGGAGTTGGTTTTGACAGTACTTTATTAATTTATTATATTGTATAATATATAAAATAGACATACGTTATAACCTAAAATCAAGTATTTTAGGATGTTTTATTTATATATTTGCATCCCACCTTTATTTCTGCAAGGAACCCAAGGCAGCTTGCTTGCATCATCTTTTTGTTCCTCTCCGTGTTATCTTCACAAAAACTCTGCCAGGTAGGTCGGCTTGAGAGTCGGGGATTGCCTGAAGTCACCCAGTAAACTTTATGACCAAGCAAGGACTCAAACCTACATCTTTTGTGTTTTTAATACTTTGCTGACACACACAGAGGTCAACTGGGCTGTACTCAAATTGGACACGGGATCATGGGTACCAGCTGACAGTACTACAGAATCCACTTCTCGCACCTACAACCCCTCCTATCTGTGTGAAAGAGGGATGCACTTCTTCAACGCTACCTGCAGATTTTGCAGTTAGAAAAATCTACTGCCCAGCGAGTCACGGGCACCCTTTTCATTTGTGTGGTGAGTGGACGACAGCGGATTATGAACAACGGAAGTGGGGAAGCAGACGCGCGCCCTCCTCAGCGTCACCTGTGGCAGCCTCTTACCCAGCTGGGTGCTGCAGGAGTCCAGCGACCAGCCAACACGCACCACATGAGGATCCGGCTCAGTGGGAGGAAGGTGCTTGACAGAGATCTCTTCGTTGATCTGGGGACCAGAGGGCAAGCAGCCAGTCAGGAAGGATCCTGAAACCCAAGCACTTGGGGCAGAACGAGGCTAAACAACTTCACCTGTCGCTTCAAGCATGTGAGGTAAAGCACCTTGAGGAGTGGGCAGAGAGCAGAGGTCGTCTGCACCGGATCTGGAACCACTTCAAGGCAAGGCTGCCTGGGCCAGCACAAGTTTTGAACGTGGGCTGAATGCCAACCCAGTGGAACTCTTAGCTGGAACTGAACAAGCTCCAGCGACTGGAATGGCAATATATGCAAACCAGTGTTTTTCAGAAAAGACAAAGGAGGGCGAATAAAATATAATGGACCCAAGTAACGAGAGCCTTTCTGCAGTGGACAAAAATATTCCTTCAGTCCCAAGACCAATGTGTGACACTATGGGCAAGCCTCCAGCCTTCATGGAGACATTCTGAGAATTCTCCCCCCGCAACAGCCCCCACACCACTGTGGCAGAAATGCATCCTTTACCTTCATCTCATAGCAGATCCTCCCACGCCGTACCCCGTATGTGGCTCGTGCTCCTGACCAGAGGTAAGCAAACCCTTCTATAGTCAGAGGGTAGCCACTGAATCGGTCACGGGCCACTTTGAAATGCAGATCGCAATTATCTGAAAGGCAAAGCCAAGGAGGTCGGAGAAGGCCACAGGAGCTTTGCAGCAGAGAAGCGTGTGGTCCAGGATGCTCGACAGCTTTATATGAAAAGCCAGCGCATCACTTGAGGAGAAAGCAAACATCAGTGATGTTGGGGCAAGAATGCCGGGCAGTGCAGGGGACAACTCCCTTTTTCCCTACGAAAACTGCTCCACACAGATTTGTAAGGACAGCTGCATGGTGGGCACACTTCATACTGGAAGGGATCCCACACCGAGCTGATTGGGCTGCCCTCCCTCCAGAGCGAGTGGGAATATGAGCCCCCTCTAATGCAGGAACCACCTCTAAAGAAACATGCCGATCAGCCAGCAGAAAGTATGGCAACTGGATCCAGCTGGGATGGTGCCGTCTACTGGATGTTCGTGTTTGTTTCAGTAGGGACTGCGTGCTTGAAAGCAGCTGGGGGCGGGGGGAGAAGGCAAGCCAAGCCCTGCAAATTCAGGCCTGCACACGGCCCTGCTGACCATTTCATCTCCCTTGGTTGCTTCTGCCCCTCTCTCAGGAGAGAGAGGTCCAGATCCTCAGCTGCTTGAAGCTGCTTACTCCCGAGAATCAGAGGATACAGGGGTGGAAGTGCAGGCAAGTGAGAACAGTCCGGACATACTGTTTTGTCGTAGCCCAGCCTGCTTTAAAGTATTAAAGCGTGTTAGCAGCTTCAGAGAACTAGATGCAATGCCTCCTGCCAGTAAGGGCTGCAAGTACTGGGCTGCTTCCTTACCAGGATCAAATCTGTAAAAGATTAATTAATCGGGGGACAGGTGCACAGGGGTGCTGCAGCTCCTCCACTATCTCCTTTCACTTACTGCTATTCCTCTGGTCAGCCACCTGCCAAATAACTCCCTGCCTCCTGCACGTTATGGGAGCTGCATCCTTGAAGGAGGTGGTAACAAGGGAGAAAGGGAGGGCTTGAGATAAGGCGGGACAAGAGGGAGGCTTTTGAGGGACAGCACACTGCTGCGACCACAACTTACATGTATCAATGGCCACCAGTGAGTCGTCAAAATCATCTTCATCGTCTTCTGCAGGTGGCTGAGGAGATCGGCCCCTGGAGAAAAGACAGCAAACGCAGGCCACATAAATCCTTTTCATGGGCCCAAGCTCATGTGTCTGTGAACGCAGGAACGGTTCCTCCCAGCATGGAACACTCAACACGCTACTGGAAAGGAACTTTGGACCCCCCCCCCCCCCCAGTGCTGCCCATAATGAAAAGAAGTGGTTTACAGGTGTGTGGTCTGAATTTATGCCTGCGGCTTAAGAATTCAGATGCTCCATTCACTCAGCTAAATGGTATTTCTATTTTAGACTTTCAGGCTGGGGCATCAATGAATAAATATCTATTCTTAAACTGTGCAATGACTGTGGAAATCCCATCTTTTAAATTGCTTAAACCTAGACAGATTCTGAATGCATCCCCAAGACTGAGAAGCACCACCTTGGTAGGGAACTTAAGATGCTCAGCACTGCTCATGGGTAAAGTCCCTCCCTGTCAAATCTGGGAAAAGGGAAATAAGCGACTGTGACCACTGCCCCAAAGACTTGCCTGAACGCACCTCTTATCCTCTCGATGTTCATAGTAGCCATGCCCCCGAGATTCCTCAAATGGCCTCTTCCGTCCCTGCTGCTGCCAGGACTGAGAGGAATCTGAGGAGCTGTAACCGGAGACAGGTGCACTGTAACTTGAAGCAGGGGCACTGTAGCCAGAAACGGAAGTGTTGTAATTAGGGGTGGACCCTGTATAACCAGAAGGAGGTGCATGGTAACCAGAGGCCTGCATGTTGTAGCCAGGGCCTGGATCCTCTTGTTTCGGCTCTGTCTTCATTTCTGCATTCAAACACAACACAACACAGGTTACTGAATAAGGACATCCTCATACCGAAGGCATACAACCAAAGGGAAACAACTACAGCAATTCATTGCAAGAAGGGTGGAATCATTGCCAACACTCCAAGAGAAATCCTATTTGAATCTCAGTTTGCCAAATGGATTGGCAACAATGCAGGGAGCATTTAAGGTACCATGGAAGAGACTGTCTGCCCATGAGTTTGGAAGGAAGCAATTGTTATCACTGGGACTTGAGGGTTAGAACCAAACCACAAGGTACCTAAATAAATAATTTCCAGCATTTTCTTCTCATGTTATACTCTTAAAAATCCTAGAGGTCTGTCCTGTACTGCTAACACAGCAATGCACTGAGCCTAAGACATGGGTAAGCCAATTAAGGAGCAAGCATGTGGACAAGACACGCTGCAGTTCCCACTGAATCCTACTGGGGTAAATCAATAAATCGGCTGGGATCCGGGGCCCAACTGAAGTGGGTCAAACTCTGTCCCCTAACTGCGACAGAGTTCAGCAAGAAAGGGGGCAGTATAGCTCCAGCACAAATGGTGTCTAAGATTAGCACTTGCTCTCCTATAAATTAATGGCTGCCATCCAGTCCCATTGGGATGGGAGAAGAAAAGATGACAACAAATGGCAGTGGATTGCCTGGATGACACTGAGAGGGATCCTATTATGGGACCAATAGGTGGCTTTGCACAGTCGCTGTGTAACCTATATGGCGTCTCAACAACAGCTACAACAACCCACAGCAGGCTTAACAGCCGTGCTAGTCCAAATGTTTGCATCTGAGCAATACGGCTGCGATTTGCACACAACTGGCTAATGGAAAATGCCTATTTTTAAAGCTTCCGACTGTACCTGAACGTAAGCCAGAATGATCTTGGTCTATAAGTCCCCTCTCATACCCAGATTCGTTCTCCTGTTTGACGCTGCAATGTTCAAAAGACTGGTATCCTTGCAGGTTGTCCATGTGAGAACTGGCATGAATGCCATCTTGAAATGAGAAATACAAGGACATGGGTAAGTGGCACTATTCTGTTCCATCCATCCCAATCCCTACTTTGAAGAGAAAAAGCATGCGCCAGCTTTTAAATGCTAAGGGTAGGTTGTGGTAGATGGGCTACATGCATTACTGAGGCTCAGTTTACAGCTTCAGGAGAATCTAGCAAACATGGCTTTCTGGAGAACACCGCTGGAGAACATGTAAGTGGGGCAGCGGGTGGACTTCATGTTTGAATGTTCCTTCTGGGAAAGAAGCTCACTGCATGTGGTAAATTACTACGTTAGGGAGAAGGGTTCAGTCTACCTTTCTCCTTCACATACTGTTTTTCTACAAATGCCAAGATACCCTCCCCAACACACCCCAGGGGAGTAAGGAAATAGCACAGCTGAGGAAAAGCCTTTTTCCTTTCATTATGCCAGATGTATAATCTGGGCCCAAAAAATGCAGAACAGCAGCAGGAATGCAACATCCACTATACCATACAAAATAATAGTGTTGGTGCAAGGAAAATCTAATATTTTAAGCTCCCCAAACCAAGCTCATACATCCGGTTAATATAACCATTTCAGCACAGAACAGGCAACACTCTTTGCACCCAAAGGATTTTTTTTCCAGAGCTTAAACCTTGATGGCATCCTCCTCTCCCGACAATCCACTAAGCCATAGTCCTGGTGCTGCTCTACAGCCCTGAAGAAACACTCCCCCCTCACACAGCTGCGCTATCTATAGAAGGAACGGGACTGCCCTGGGGAAAAGGGTATTCCAGCTGCTCAGAGATTACAGTAAGCCCTGGCAACCAAGTGGCACCTGGAGGAAAGGTTTCCGGATGCCAGACAAACAACAGTGCATGAAAAATGTGGGAAAAGACTTTACAGTGTCTATAATAAGAGATAAATACTATGCCTGCTCAGGTGCCAAGCAGAGTCATACCACAAAGCTTATCAGAGGACAAATCAGTGCATGTATCATGCCCAGAGGAGTGTTCGCAAACAGCACAGCGAGCCCAAGTGTTTGTCTTCCTAGTATCCTAAGCTAAAGAGTTCCCTGGAGAAGGGGTGTGTACGTCTTTTGCAGTGCTCACTGCTAGCTGGGTCTCTGCCACAGTCTGCTAAGCTCACAGAACCATCAACAGCACTTAGCACTGACACAGTCCATTTTACCCAAAGCACTCTATGCGCCTCTTCCATACGAGCTTCTCCCAACCACGTGGCATCTCTCCTTTGTGGGCCTTGGGGAGCTCGAGGAACAGAGCAAGTGCTAAGCAAACGGGAAAAGCTTAGCACCAGGCATCGGTCAGCCTCGCATCCTCGTCCCTTGCTAGCGAATACTCCACCGACCCTCCCTCCACCCGCGCTCATGGCCGCACCTGGGGTCCTCACAGCAAAACGGTGACAGCAACTCAAAGGCTGCAGCTGCCCCGGGGGCTCTCACAGGATCACAGCAAAACGCCAGGGATCCTTAGCAGGGAGCTGCACCCGGAAGCTCAACCGGTGCGGCCCCAGCAGAAGAACTAGGGCTGCACCCCGGGTGCGTCTGTCCCGTAGGGCAGGAAGGTGACAGAGCTGCACCAGAAGCGCAGCCCGGCCTGGGGTAGGACCGGAGGCCCGACGCCTGTGCTGCCGCAGGACAAGCTCGGAGAGCAAGCGGGGCCCGCGCGTCCACGCCTCCCGAAAATCGGCCCGAGTTCGCCGCGCCGGGAGGCCCGCCCGTTCGTGACGGGTCCAACCCGCATCCGCAGCAGGGCCGCACCCCGGGGGTCCCGTTCTCCGCAGTACCATCGCCGCAGCGCCGAGCTGCACCGGTTGGACAGCCTTCCCGGCGCGAAGCCGCACCGATGGGCCCGCCATCCCCGGAGCGGAGGCTGCAGCGGGAAGCGCGCCACTCGCTCCCGCCGCGGAACCGCCCCGGCCGGAGGGACTCCCGTCACGTAACCCCGCTTACAGTGTCCGTCAGACAGCAGCGGCTCCCTGCCCAAACCCGGTCCAGGCAATCCGCCGCGGCCCTGCTCGGCCTCTAGCGCCGCCTGCAGTCGCTCAGCCAACTCGGCCTTCAGCCCGCGGATGTCGAGGCCACGACGGCCCAGTTCCTCCTTCAGCTCGTTGACGCGCAGCCTCCGCACGTCCATGGTCCGCTCAGTCCCCGCCGCGGAGTCGCGGTTGCCCGGCCATCGAGCCTTCGTTCCGGGCCCGGCTCAAAATGGCCGCCCTCAGCCTCCTCCCCTCACGGAGCCTCGCCGCCATGCCCCGGGCCCTCCGGTTGGCTAGCCGTCAGGTGGAGGAATGTAAGGCGCGCACTGATTGGGTCAAATATCCCCTATCGCAACACCCTCCTCTCTTTCCCTCCGTCTCCCGCTCGTTCTCCGACTGTGAGAGAAGCTTTCTCATTGGAAGAAGTTATGGGCCAATCTCTAAAGAGCTTTCTCACTGGCTAATGGTGGCTCGTCCTCTCCCCGCCCTCACGCTACGTGAACTGGGCTGGGAAAGGAAGGTGGGGCAATAACTGATTGACGCAGGAGAGAGGTTGGGCCAACTTCCTGAAAACCAATCACAATTCCTCTCCCCTTCGAACTTCCCAGGTTTGGTTGAAATATGGGTTGGTTTGTTTGTGGAGGGATTTTTCCTGCCTTTCCTATTGGCTAAGCCTTGCATACGCTTCATTCTTTCAGACGAATCGTTAGCAATGAGACAATTTTGGCGGTTGTGTTTGTATGTAGAATTTCCATTGGCTGAAAATCAGGAGAAGCGGAGGAAAAAAATCTTTCTCGGTGTGTTGCCCTTGATCTGAAGATAATGTATCGAAGGAATTTATATGCCGCTTTTCTCCTTAAGTAGGGCTCAAAGCGGCTCATGCAATATTTTGGTGAAAGCAAATAAAGCAGTAATGCAGGCGGGCTGGGGACTCTTTGGTCAGAGGGGCTGTTTACCCACTGCGCCTTTTCTCCTGCACCTTCTAGGAGGTCTCCATGGTGGCGAATCAATGGGGGAGTGCAGTTCAGCACCATGGAGAGCTCCTAGAAAGCACAGGCCGGGAGCTGCGAGGGAGAGAGTGCTACTGACAAAGGCGTTGCCAGGCTCCCAGCCAACTCAACCAACCCGATAGGGCAAAATCAAGAGAAAGGGGGCAGGATAGGAATGAGTCGCAAGGCTGGATCCAGCATTAAGTGGCAATCCCGTCTCCCTTCAAGTAAACCCCGCTGAACCCAATGGGGTTTGCTCCTCGTTATTTATTTATTAGGTTTGTATCCCACCTTTTTTCTTACAAGAACTCAGAGCAGCTTGCATCATCCTCCTCCTCCTGCTCCCAGGCTTATTCTCACAACAACAACCACCCTGTGAGGTAGGCTGGCCTGAGAGTCTGTGACTGGCCCAAAGTCACCCAGTTGGCTCCATGGGTGAGCAGGGACTGGAACCCAGATTATTTATTTATTTAAAACATTTCTATGCCACCCCCATCGCAACAAAGCCTTGGGGCGGCTCACAACAGACACAAAAATACAATCAATAATTTAAAAACTGGTACCATCTCAGCTATATATTAAAATCTATAAATACAATAATAATAAATTAACTGTTAAAATAACTTTAAAATAAAAAGGTCTTTGCCTGGTGCCGAAAAGCAAATAATGACAGCGCCAGGTGGACCTCTCTGGGGAGCGCATTCCATAGGTGGGGCACCACTGCAGAAAAGGCCCTCCTCCGGGTACTCACCCTCCTAATATCCTTCACGGAGGGTTCCTGGAGAAGGGCATCTGCTGCCGATCGTAGGGGGCGGCCAGGCATATGTGGACGCAGACGTTCCTTTAGATAACCAGGTCCCAAGTCGTTTAGGGCTTTATAGGTCATAACCAACACCTTGAATTGGGCCCGGACTTCAATAGGGAGCCAGTGAAGCTGACGGAGAACTGGGGTTATATGAGAACAACACCCAGTCCCCGTCAGCAACCTGGCAGCTCTATTTCGCACCAATTGAAGTATCCAGACCGTCTTCAAGGGTAGCCCCACGTAGAGCGTGTTGCAGAAATCTAGTCGGGAAGTTACCAACGCCTGGGTCACTGTCACCAGGCAGTCATTCTCCAGATTGCCTGAGCTGTAATAAAAGCAAATGCAAGATCTAACTACCAACTAACAACAAGGCAAAGACCAGATAGCCTGCTAACCATCCACAGGATGGATTATCTACACCACGAGGGGCAGCTGGTACCCTTCCAGATATTTGGCCTACAACTTCCATGGTTCTGGCTAGGGCTGATGGGTGTTGCAGGGCCAAAACATCTGCCAACTCCTGGCTTAGATAAGAGGTCCACCTCAATCCTAAACATATCTGTGCTCATGTAATGCCATTTGCTGCCCGCAGCCCTTGAAATAAACTCCCAGCAGCCCCAGCAAACACAGCCAATGATCACAGGTGATGGGAACTGTAGTCCGACTGCATCTGGAGGTCCACAGATCTCTCCCCCTCCCCTGCCACCCACAAAATATTCTTGAGTTACGCTTTCATCTGCATTTGCAGCGCTTTCACCAGGAGAGGGCGATTGTGTCTTGCATGGACAGAAACGCTCCGATTCCAAGTCTACTGACTTGGCGGAGATAAGGGGGGCCCCGTGCCACCTGCCCAGACCCAATGATGGGCCAATCCCACACTGATAAATAAGCATAGATCCTTGTTCCTGCCCCAAGACTCCCCCCGCCAAGTTTTCACTCATGCTGCCAAAAACCATGCAGGTGGACGTGAAGGACAGAGGGCGCCTTGTATCAACAGGGCCGTGTGGCCATGAATTATCCAAGGGGATACCGTGCGGTGTTGATGCACCTCGGTTTTCAGATTTCCCAGGCTGAAGTGCAGGGAGGGGCAACTTGTGGACCGCCAGGCCTTTGGGCCTACAAGTCCCATCATGCCTCACCGTTGGCTATACCTGCTGTGATCAATGGGAGGGTTGGGTCAAAGAATATTCTCTTCCCCAGTGTGGCACCCTCCAGTTCTGTGGGACTGCAGTTCCCATCAGGAGCAGCCCCCCTGCCCACCGGAGCCTTTGAACCTGCTGGGGGCCAGTGGGGTGCAGTGATTTGACCATCAGATTAGGAACTGGGAGAACCAGATTCAAATCCTGCTTGACCCTGCAGCTCCCCGGGTGGCTTTGGGCCTCTCACTGCCTCTCAGGCTTACCTGCTTCTCAAGGTTGTTGTGCAGATAAAATGGGAGAGGAGGATCACTTACACCACCTTGGGCCTCTTTGCGGAACAAAACCTGGACAGGAATGTAGCCAACAAGCAGAGATTCAGTTGCAAGCTTCCTGTCCCAAAAGCTGCCTTGCTAAGCTAAGCAGGGATTTAGGTGGATTTTCGGAGCTTTCATTCATAGGGCCGCCATAAGTGACCACAACAAAGCCCCGAAGGGAGGCATTGAGGCAACCCAAGCCACTGAATCCCACCCTGCTGTTCCACGGGGTGTGCATAACGTCCAGGAATGTCCAGCTCGCCGCAGTTCCGTCTGTCTCCCTCCCTGCTTATCCACCCCTTTTCCTGCCCTCTTTTCCAACCCGCTGCCCTTTGAGGCTGCCGGGAGACAGAGTGGCGTTTGTTGTGGGGTGGGACGCTAGCCACTCCCCATCAAACACTGAGGACAATTGCAAAACGGCTCACCCCCTTGCCCCAGATTGGCGATGCTTGCCATGAAAGATGCCCCTCTGAATGGGCGGCCTTGTTCTCCGCTACTCACTTGAGCAGAGACGCCTACAATTAGGGCAGCCTAGCCCTGAATGCGCCTATTGACGAGGTGCCCCCCATCCGCTGCCCAGCAAGAGGGGAGGGCATGGAGCGGAGTGAGTAGTCCCCATGGCCGGGCTCCAGAGCCCGGCCAGCCCTTCTGGCTCTGGCCGCACGAAGGAGCGGAGTGACCGGACTGGGCACCCCCGGAAGGCATAACCAGCATCGCCTCGTGCGGAGCTGCCCAGAGGCCGGCAGACTCCAAGGCAGAGGTGAGCGGCTTATGAAGCTCCAGAGGTTCCGGCCTGCACTTCCCATCCGTACTAGCCGGTATTGCTGATGGTGGAGGAGGATGGGAGGTGTAGGCTAAATCATGAGGAAGCTCAGAAGGGGCCCGCCCCTGCCAAAATTTGGGCCAGGGAAGACCTGGGGGGCAGGCTTCCAATAGCATTGCCCCCCCTTGCTTTACTAGTACTTTGGCTAGCCACGTTTCAAAGCCACGTTGGCTGTTTTACCAAAATCTGTATATTATTATTATTATTATTATTATTATTATTAATCATGACCATTCCCCTATCATTATTATTTCATTCCTATACCATCCCATAGCTGAAGCTCTCTGAAAAACAGCAGAGACACCACCTTGGTGATCAGGAGATTTACATGCTTTTAAAATGATGTGTGAGCATTCCCTGTTTAAGGATAAAAAGGTCATACTAAAGGAATGAAGGTACAGAAAAGAGCACCAAGAAGCGGTGGCCCCTTTCTGCCCTCCGGGGTGCAGGCAAAGGCACCCCTTGCTTCCTTCGGCATGGGGGGGTTCCCTGAGTGGCCACGGGGGAGCCAGCCCCCAAAAATGCCCCAGAATGAAAGCCACCCTGGACTGTCTGCTTATGGCGCGGAGGGCCATTTCCTGCTGGGCCAGTTCCAGTTTCGTCTCTCTGGCCAGTCTGGAGCAGGATTCAAGCACGAAGCCATTCGGGAGCGGCATCTTTCAGACAAAAACGCCGCCTGTAGCTTTGGCACCTGGACCAGCCATGATGGCAGGGCACCGGACACTGGGTGCTCATGCCAGGCATGCAACCATAACCCATGTTCCCCTCACCACATGCTCCATGGGGCTGGGGCAGCACCACACTCCTGCTGTGGCAAAGGGTTGTGTTTGCTGAGAAAAGGCGAGAGTCACATTGATCCCACGCCCTGGGTCCCAGAAAATAGGTTTCCAAATCGGGTGCCCTCCAGATGAATTAGGACTGTAATTCCCAACACAGGCAGAGGATGATGAAACTTTTAGTCCAACATCTGGGGAGGCTACAGGTTGACAAAGGTCATCTTCCAACACCTGCGCAACAGCTGTCCACTTTATGACTGCCGCAAAGGCTTTTAACTGGAAGTGCGGGGGACGGAATTTGGTATTTCATCCAAGGCAAGCAAATTCCCAACCAGGATATTCGACCCGCCCCTCCCCTATCTTTGCTTTTCCCTGTAGAATTTATCTAGTTCCAGATTTTTCTTTTCTCTTTTTTTAAAGGAAGTTTTTATTTATAAGCAAAATATATCACAGAGCATTCTCTCTCTCTAAAAACAGACCTTGCCCTGAGAGGGAACTGTGTTTGTACAAAAGTAAGAGTGGAAAAACATTAAATGTACAGCAATTTTGTAAAAAGTATATACATTTATATATATATATATTTATAACAAAACATTTCATTAATACGAATCTGTAGGAAAACAGAGTTGACTGTTTTGTAGACATATCAAAGCAGCAGGCCGAAAAAATGACTTTCATGTAATAGCACTTGGAAGCCCCGTCAATCCAGCAACAGAGACCTTGTACAAAATGCCAGATCTGCCCAGTCCAGCCTTTCCTTTGAAAATTCAAAGGGAATCAGCTTGTATTTGATGCCTTTCGGCAAAAGGAATGGAAAACATGACTGGACACCTGAAATGTGTCACTGAAAATACGGTTCAGAAGATGATGTATTTCTTTAGAAGTGGGGGGGGGGGTTAACCGCATCTCTTTGTCTAGTTATGAGAGGCCGGTGGCCAAGCTGAAGCCCTCAATAAGATGCGAGGGCAGCAAAACCCAGAATCTGACTGCAGATCTACAAAGAGGGTAGAGTAGCAAGAAGCAGGAAGGGGGAGCTGAACCATGCCCCTGTCTACTACTTTCCCCAAAAGCTGTCCCAGGCTCCGAGTCCTGAAGTCAACCTAGCCAGAAACCGCGGCTGGACACCCCGAGTCGGTTGCAAGGCCAAGTGGAGAAGTCAAGAGGCACCCCGTCTCCTCTCTCCTGCCCACCAGCTGCCTCAGTCCTTCTTGGGCCTAAATCTAAAGAAGTGGATGGCGTTGCTTCACATGACCAACAGATGCGGGAGCTCTGCTTCAGGCAGGGCACAGATCCTCTTGCCTCTGAATCAGCCCCACACAGACTAGGGCAATCAACACAAATTTCCCTGATCCAGATGTGAGGAACCACAAGCCCAAGTCCACGTGGTTTGCAGATTATGGGAGTTGAAGCTCCACTGCACTGGAAGGAACCAGGTTTGGGACGGCTGATCCAAGAGCATAGAGACACGCCTTCAACTATAACCCCAACGTTTCTCCCAAGGAGTATACCGAAAATACGCACACAAAACTTTCGGCTCCCCAGACCTGTTTTGCAGATCTCAGACTTCAGGTACGCTGCCCAGTTTGTAAGTGCTGCTTGCAAGCTTGAATTAGTATTTGTTTGGCACTTTTAAAAAAACTTGCTGGATGTTTAGTTTTTAAGAAGTGTTCCCAGAGAGGCGGGTTCGTGATTGTCACTAGCCAATCAGAGCAATGCACAACCAGCTTTGGCCCTTCACACACACAACTATTTTGTGTGTGTGTGCTTAAAAAGGAGATACATGTGAACAAAATTTGGGAAATAGGGTTACACAGTAGTTGTGTTGCTCAAAGTATTCCTGACGGCATACCTTGAGCTTTCAGTGGCCAGGCTGACTTTTGCTACAAGATGCTGCTGCTGCGGACTACAGGGGACCTATGGAGTGTATAGAACAAATCATTAACAAATGTGCATTTATTGTGCAAAAAATAGGAATAGCTGTGCAGAAAAAGCCTTTAGTTGAAGGCTGGAGCTAGGCAATAGGTTTTGAGTGAGCTGAAAGTGGTCCATGGAAGTTTATTTTCTACCACTGCTTCTGATCAAACAGGTGCAGCAGGACCGAAACACAAAAACCTGCAAAGCTTGTTTAGCCCAAAATGGAAAATAGGGTAAGTACACACACTCCAAGTGGGCAACCTTTTTGCAAACCTCTGTCAGCTCTCTGAAAAAGGCTGCAAAGTATTTCCAGACCAAATGACTGGAAATACAATAGGAAATTGTCTGGACGTACAAGCAGCTCACAACCTCTCTGCATAGCAGTAATTGTTGCAAAGTCTCCAGATGTAATCAGAGGGAAGCAGCCATCACGGCATGGTTATTGATGCAAACCGTTCCCTACCAGCCAAGTTATCAGAAGGAACTGCCGTAACGTCCAAAGCAGAACGGGCAAATTCACTATGAGCTTTGCAAGCCATACTCCAGTGGAAGCTTTTCCAGCTTGCCTTAAATCAAGGGACTCCCTGACTGGTGGATCCGAACCATGGGATGCCGAAAGAGCTGCTGCAGAGTGCAGTTTGGCTTTGAAATAAACTGTTTTCTTCTTTCGTGGAGGTCAGGTGTAATATTCCCGAAATAAAATGTTCAGTGGTTATGGGCACATGCAGTAGTGCGGCGTGGGTGCTTACTATCACAACAGTGTTGCGTCATTCTGTGTGGCACAACTCCCACTCATTTCTGTGTGGGCTTGTGCGGGGCTCTCCTGCGAGCCTGCTACTCTGAAGAGAGAGGAGGTGGCTCAGGAGGCATCCTGGCTCGGCTGTGGCCGCTCGGGTGTCGTATGCCGCAGACCCCAACACCCGTGACGCAGGCCGGGCTTTCTGCTCCTTTCGAAGATGCTTCAGAAGCCGCCCAGACAGAAGGAGCACTTGAGTTTCTTATGACTGCACAGGAAGCCCTGACAATCGAACAGCTGGCGAATCGAATGCTGCCCGTTTCAGTGCCGGCTGAGGGATATTTGGTCGTCCACAGTACAGACGGGGTGGAGGGAACCAGCCCCTGGTCTGCAGGGCTGCAATCCGAGCCAGAATTCATCTCTGGGATCGATTCTGCAGGCCAGGCCTGGCTCCTGAGAAGGGACCTCGAGAAAGCAGGGGGCACTTGTGCATTTCTGTCCCCATTAAATGGTCACAGTCAGGTCTGTCCCATCTGGGTTTGGGGCAGAGGTGGGTCTCCCGGTGCCTTTATTACATGGACCCCTGCCGGAAGGGCACCCAAGGAGACATGGCAGTGAAACAAGCTGGTGGGGGCGGGGGGGGGAGAGAAATGCACACTGTGCTCTCATCTGGCCACCCCAAAAGTGACTCAGAGCACTATCAGGTGCCCTTCTGTAAAGCTCGCCCTGATCCTGTGCTTCTAGCAGCAGCCAGAAAAACGGAGCAAGGGAAGCTGTTCCGGCTTGTAGCTTCTTTGTCCAGGAAAAGCTTCGCCCACTCAGTTGCTGGGGCATCAGAAGCAAAGGCATCAAAGGTGCAGGAGTGGCCCACCCCTCCCCACAAGGTGGCCAACTTAGTACCTGTTAGCTGGCCGTAGCCAGTTAAAATTAGACCACGGATTTGGGTGGGGAGGCAGGAGAGATTGGAGATTAAATAGCCAAATTCCCTTTAATCCAGAGAGGGGAAAAGGGCAGCCTCCGCTCCATCAGCTTCATTGCCAACCTCCCTCCTGTAACCTAAGAAGGACTTGTCCACATCTCCAGTCCCGGCATTCTGGAGTCTCGAAGATGACTTTGCCTTACATAGGCAACAGGGGGGCTGCTACACGTACCGAGAGAGGGGCCTGGGGGGCACGGGAGGCCTTCCAGGACCGATCAGGCCACTCCCCTCCATACGCAGGAGGGCCGGAGCAGGGGAAGGGCAGCTGAAACGGAAGAAGCGGCTGGCTCATCGCGGAGAGGCTGTGTCCCTGCGTCTCAGCTCGTGGGGCATCCAGCGGATCCCCGCCCGTCAGGGACGCAGCCTCCCAACCCAAGTACCTGCAGGGTGGCTTGCCCCCCCTTGCCCCCCACCCCGGTAAGTTGCCCTCCCTCGCCCAACCCCATTCAAGCCCCTTCTTCCGTCGCAGCACAGCTGAGGGGCTCGGCCAGGAGCTGGCTGCTCTCCAGCGGGGTGGGGCACATGACATAGCGGCCCATCGCCTGGGGCTGATGGACCTCGGCGGCCGTCACCACGGCCTTGAACGACTGGCTCTCCTTGGCTGGACCCTCCTCAGGCCCCAAACCCCCCACGGCTCCCAGCTCGGCCTCCCCCGGGGCCACCCGGTCATCCATGTTGACATAAAGGATCTCCTCCGGTTCCTTGGCCGGTGGGAGGGCCTTCAGGATCTTCTCCAGCTGCTGGTGCAGGATCTCAAAGCTGGGACGGTCACGTGGGTTGAGAGTCCAGCAGCTCAGCATCAGTTCGTACCTGGAGGGTTAAGGAACACGGAGACTCCTCTCAGGGAAGCCCTGGTGCACCAAGGGGCTGGGCCTCGGCCCCCCAGTCCCGGAGGCTAACGGGAGAAGCACAGCAAGCGCAGGAGGGCTTCGCCAGCTGCAAGGAGAGGCGGCCTTTGCCCCCAGTCCCTGGGACAGTGTGGGGAGAAATAAGAGGGAACGAGAAACAGGCCACGGTGACGTCGCTCCGCTTCCCTTCCCTGTTCGTAACAAAACAGCCCTCACCACAAGCAGGGCTCTGCTCTGCCCAGAGTCCAAAAGGGTCTGCAATGACACGGGGGATACTGAGGCAGGAGGCTCATTCCCTTGTGCTGCCTGGGCCCTGGTGTGGTGCTTGTCGCTGGTACTGGCCTGAGTGAACTCAGCCAGAGTGGAAAACGGCACTGCCGCTCTTGCCGAGCGGTTTGCTTGCGGCTTCCCTGCATCCACATCAGGGGCCCAAGGTTTGGGTTTCGACAATGCAACTTATTATCCATCATAATGGATAACAACAACAACCCCTAGAACGAGCCATGGGTTGGCACCTCAACATGACAACCACCCATGGCAAGTTACCCATGATGCGGTTTCACGTTATGCAAACCCCTCGAGGAGGAGGAAGGAATTCATATAGGAATAAGTTCTAAATTAGTGATGCTTCCAGAAAACCTGAGCTTGTTGGTTTCCTTAAGAACTGAGCTACCCAGAAGTTGTCCTACCTTCCATCTTTGTAAACACACATTTGTAAACTTGTAAACATCTTTGTAAATGCCTGTCCTGAAATGCTCTGTGCTTAAAGACTTGCCAAGAGAAGGAAGCTACTGGGTCGAGGGCCTAAGGGGCTCAGCTGCACAGGATTGTGGGAATTTCAAGGAAGGAGGTGCACTATCTGTGGCTTTGAGCAACAGGTGTGGATGCTTACAGGCCATCCAGGCAGTCGATTGGCTGTTTCAGGCGGTTGCCTTGGCGCAGGTAGTCGTAAATCTCACTGTTCTCCACACCTGGGTACGGCGTCTGCCCTCGTGTGGCGATCTCCCACATGGTGACGCCAAAGGACCACTGCAAGGCAGGGGAGAGGCTGGTGGGAAAGGGGCGAGAGGCACGGCCCGCTGGGCGAGCGGGCTCCAGCTGCTCCCGTTTGCTGCGCGCGGTCTTTCCAGCTTGGTCTCCTCCAGCTCAGTCAGAAGGGAACTCCCATCATTTTTTAAAAGAGTCAGTTTTTTAAAAGGATAAATATTCTTGAACTCATCCATCTGCTTGCATGCAGCAAAGGGTCCAAAATACAACAAGAAGAAATGGGGCAGACGACTCCAAAATTTTATTAAAATGGAAAATCTTGCATTAATGTACTGTATAAAGTGTGTTTGTAGAACAATTGTATTATGGACTTGCTGTGAGCCGTTGCGATGGGAGCGGCATAAAAATGTTTTAAATAAATAAATAAATAAATAAATTCCCAATGGCCACGCTAGCTGGGGAATTATGGGCATTGCTGTCCGGCACATTTGGAGGGCGCCAGGTTGGAGAAGGCTGGTCCAGAGGGACAGGAAGGCCTGCTTCCTCATTGGTTTGTGGGGGGGGGGCGGGGAGGGGGGCGCCCAAGGCACCACTGGTCAGCTCACCACATCACTCTTGATGGTGTACACGCGATCCGCCAGGCTCTCGATGGCAATCCACTTGACCGGCATCTTGGAGATGCGGCCCTGCCGGTAATAGTCGCCGTTGTAGATCTTCTTCGAGAGGCCGAAGTCCGCCACGCAGGCCGTCATGCTCTCGTTCAGCCTGTGGCGGGAAGGAAGCCGAGGGTGGGTGGGTGTGCGGGAGAGCGGCCGAGGCCCACGGAGGCCCCCTCACCCAGCTGCCTTTCCCGTGGCTCCTGCCCCGGCACTCACATGCAGTTCCGGGCGGCCAGGTCCCGGTGGATGAAGTTCTTGCTGCTGAGGTACTCCATCCCGCTAGCAATGTCTGTCATGAACTTGACCAGCGTCTGGGTGGGCAGGTACTGGCGGGAGAGGAGAACACAGCTGTCTGTACTTGCAGGCTGGGGCCACACCGCAGCATCTGCCCCCCCCCCCAAAGCGTATGCTCCTGCCTCTGCAAGCAGAAGCGCAGCTGGTTGAGGGGCACGGGGGCGGGTTGGAGAGGATTCCACTCAATTGTTCCTTGCTCAATTGTTTCCTCAATTGAAAAAACAGAAAATGCGGGGATTTTCTACACAGGTTTTTAGGGAAAACACAGATTTTAGGGAAACCAAGGTTCAATTTGGATGCCAGGAGGGACTTCCTGACAGTTAGGGTCCCAAGGGTATGGAATGGGATTCCATGGGAGGTGGCGGAAGTCCCATCGGTGAGGGTGTCTGAGGATAGGCTGGACATGCACAGGGTAGGCATGTCATGAGTGGAGCCGGGGTCAGACTAGATGGCCCGGGAGACCCCTTCTGACTCGCTCTGTTTCTGTGTTTTTCCAAGCTTTGCCCACAGCTTTGCATATTATTTCCCCTCACTCTGTGTGTGTGTTCTGGCTCTGTGTTTTCTGATGCACCGAATACACACAGATCAGCTGCAGCTCCCTGAATCTCCCTTCCGTGGCCGGTCCTGGAAAAGCAGTGGCCCCCGTTGGGCAACCCGTCCCCACCTAGGGCTAGTTCCAGATGGAGGCCTTCTACTAGCCCTATTGCTCAGAGTCTTCCTGTAACTATTCCCACCTTGTTCTCCTTAAGAGGATTTCTGTAGTAAGGGGAAAAATGGAAGAAAGGGAGGGAAAACACAGGAGGGTTGTGTGTGGAAGGCAGTGCGGACTGGACCCCCCGAAAAATTCTGCAACTGAAGCAAAAATAGCACAAGAGCTGGGCCACCTCAGATTCCTGCAAGCTCCAAATATCAGAGAGCCGGTGAGCTCTGCAAAGGCAGAATCCAGCGATCTCCTTGCCCGGGCCAGTCTAGGGACAAGCAAGGGCCTCGTGGCCTCAGGGCCGTTCCTCTCGTCTCAGCAGACAGACGGACGTCTCACGGTCACTAGGTCACTACGTACCACGGGGCTCTCCCCGAGTCTCGAGTAAAGCAGGAAGCTGTGCAGGTCGCCGTGTTTCATGAAGGGCAGGATGACAACCGGGGAGGGGTACCCTTCGCTCTCCGTGTTCTGGAGACAGACTCCTGGGGGAAGGAAAGAGAGGGTTCCCCAGCTGCTCCAGCCGGCCGGCCACCGCGGGAGGAGAGCAAGGCCCGAGGCTGGGCGGCTGCCAGTCGCTGCTCAGGCCCAGAAAGGGCGCTGGGAGGGAGCGGGGAGCGCTGGCGCGGCAGGCGAGAGGAGGCCCGGTGGATGCGGCAGGACAGGGAGGTGGCGGGCATCCTGGGGTGCCGATCAGCTGTTGGGCACCATCGGGGAGTGGGGGGGCTTGAAAAGCCCAGCTTTACGCTTGAGGCAGACTTCCCCTCGCACGGCCCTCGGGTGCCAAGCGCGCTCCCATCTTCCGCCCAGCGCCGAGCGGTAGTCCAAAGTGCGCCGGTGTTGCCCATGGCCTGCTGTGCCAAACGCTGCTGGGGAGGTGCTATGGCAGGAGCTCGGGAGCCTGGCAGCAGACGCTCCATCATCCACCCCCCTCCACCCAGGTCTTCCATCTGAAGGGCTGGCCGGGGGGCAGAAGATCTACCAGGCCACCCCACGCGGCTGGAGAGGAGGCAGGCAGGGCGGCCCAGGGCATCCCTGCAAGCTGGAGGGCAGGTGGGGCAGAGCGGAGGAGCCGGGGGGGGGGCTCTGCAACGTACCCAGCGCCTGACCTCCACGCCCGCCCCACCCACCCCACCCACCCCCTCGCCCTCCTGCGGGGCTTCCTGCGAGAAGCCACCCCGGGCCACGCTCCCCCAGCGCGCCCGCCCGTGGCTGAATGCTGTTCGTACTCTGCCCCCCATTAATGGGAACCAGAGAGGGGCGGGGGGGGGCGAGCCGCTGGGACCGTCCCGCGCGCGCCTGGCGAGGCCCCGCTTCGCCAAGCAGGGCTCCGCGGGGGGCGCCCCGCGCCCCTGCCCCGTTTCCTCTCGCCGGCGCGTTCCCGGGCCGCTGGAAGGGGCGAGGCGAGGCGAGGCGCGCCCGCGCCCCATCGCACGCCGCGGGGTCCCGGGGGCGCCGCCGACGCCTCCTCACCGATCAGCTTCATGACGTTGGGGTGGTCGAAGTCCTTCATGCAGACGGCCTCGCTCAGGAAGTCCTCCATCTCGCTGCGCGTGCAGATGGCGACTGCGGAGCAAAGAAGGCGGCTGGGAGCGCGCCGGCCTCCGCGCCCCGGCGCCCACGGCGGCCTCCAGAGCCCTGGGTGGACCGGCCCCCGGGTGCCCCTGGCTCGGGCTCCTGCCCAGACCAGGACACCTGAGGGACCGCCCGCCCGCCCCCACCTGCTCCCACGCTCTCTTTACGAGGCGCTTCTTCCAGAGGTGTGGGGTCGGACAAGCCCCTGGAGCGGGCGCCCCAGACGGCTCACCTGGCGCCCTCGTCACTGTGCCGGCCCCAGGTGACGCCTGCGCACGCCTGTGCCTACTTACTTTTCATGGTCTTGACGGCGACCTTCAGCGCTGCCCCGTCTTGGCTGAGCTGCCCCTCCATGACGGAGCCAAATTCTCCTGCAGGGACAAAGGATAAGGAAAGAAGCACCTTGTGAGCAACTGAAGCCGAGCAGCGCTGTGTCCCAGCACCTTTAGCCTTTCTTTCACCAAAAAATATACAAGGCGCTCCAGTTTCTGTCCTCTTTATTTTTTCTTCACAACAGTCCTGGGACGTTAGGCTAAGATCTCACAGCTGCCCCAAGGTGAGATTCCTGGTTCAATGGAAATGTGTGCGTGGGGTCTCCAGATCAGTCCCAACACCCTAACCACGGCACCCCGCTGCCATCTGTCCCACGCAGGCTTATCATCCACTTCCACTAGCACAAACATTTGCGCTGGAAACTCCAGTGAGAAAAAACGGCTGCCTGGCCCAATAGCCATGCTGGCTGGGGATGATGAGGGTTGGGGTACAACACTTCCGAAGAGCACCAGAGGTGGGGAAGGCTGTAACTGAAGGTACAGGGAGACCACCCAGGATACTGGATTTCTCTGTGGGCTGCACAGTGGCTCTGCTCCAACATTGTGAGAAAAGAAGGTGTGGGCCAGATAATTTCCAGTCTCCCTCCTCTTAATATTTGCAGATCCTTCCCTCTTCGTTTGGGAGCAACACGGCCAAAGGACCAGCTTCTCCCACGCAAACCTGCCCAATTAGTGACCTATCCCAGTAAGTTATTGCTATTGCAAATCTGCTGTTGAATTGTGAAGGGTTGATGTTTCTGCCATGTCCCCTATAATTTACTAAAGAAAACTCCTCTGTCCAGCTGCCAAGAGAAGCACAGACTCCTAGAATAGGGTAATAATATTTAATTATTTTCCCTGACATCAAAATTGGCTACCACCTTTGGTCTCCCTGATCCCCATCTTAATTGCTAATGATATTTACTTCTGCGTACGTCTGTGCTTTGGTGCCAAACTGCTACAAAATCCTCCTTATGGAACACAAAGTTAGGATCCAGCCTTTGGATATTTAGTTGTCTGCTTTTGTTTTACATTCTTGTTTTGTTTTGTTGTTTACAGAATCCTAAGCTCGGAAGGGACCCACTGAAGCCCCTCCAGCCCAGCGGTTTTCTGCTAGGGCTCCCAAACTTCTTGCAGCTCCTCAGAACTCCACCACGATGAGAAGAGCACTAATTATAAACACACATCCCAGCCAGACAGCTGGATGGGTTGGGCACAGTCAAGGCCTGGATAATACCAGAGGGGAGCTGTCAATGCATCTCTGAACAGAGACCAAATCTGCGAAGCCCAGGGGCTGCAAGTCAGAAGCACTGGGCCTCCTCAGAAGACAGACCAAGGTGGAAAAGATTCCTCATAGGGCAGAAAGTCTGAACATCGATTTCACAGCATGCCCTAAGTGGGGTACCTTGAACCTCTAATGTAAGGGTTTGCAACTGATGGATTACATGAAACTCCACCAGAGAGAGGTACCCTCTGGCTCTCTGGGAAAAACAAAAGCAACTCAATCCAGAGCAGGAAAAAGATATGAAAACAGTGGCCAATGCGGCTACCGAAGTTAGCAAGTCAGGCAGATGCTCTGAATGAGTGTTCAGGGTGTGAGATTGTTTCTCACCAGCCTGCTGCCTCCTTGAAAAATGGCAGACACGGGAAGGGAAAGGAAAGGAAAAAGGGAGGAGGGGTGGAAATGTTCGAGAGGAAACGTATGTGCCATCTTTAGCCAGCGCCTTTCCATTCCTGCTTTCCAGATGCTTCCAAACTAATCCCAGCTGTGCTTGGAGGAAACTTTTTGATTTCCTAAGTGAAATGAGAAGGAAAGCCTGCCAGGCCTTCGACCCAAATGAGCAAAACAGGCCTCTGCCTTTCTGCTACAAGAAAGCTAGCCTTCCAGCCTTCCAATTAATAGTTATTATGGACACTAATCAGGAATGGAAACAAGGGGATTTTCCTGTCTCTCATTCAGCAATTAATATCTTGTGCTGCTTGAAGATTTCCTCAGAGTCCCGGATGGGTGAGGACGGTCAGAGCTTGAAAAGGCAAGAAAGGAGAAGCAGCAGTTGCCATGGGCTTGGGAACGTGCTTTTCTTACCAGGGGCCAGATTCAGGTGGAAATGAAGATCTCTCTGGTGCTAAGTCAGAGTTGGAACCAGAGAGATCTTGCTAGAATCCCTGTTCCAGGAAAGAAGTGTTCTATTGGGCAGGCCACGAATTTTAGAGTACAAGGAGGCCATGGATTCTGCAGGGAACTCCCCATGACAGCAGTACACCATCCTGAACTTCCAGTAAACGAGGACATTTCCAAATATTTATTTCAGTGGTGTAATTTATTATATTTTAGTTTTATGTTGTGAGCCGCCCCGAGGCTTCAGTGAATGGGGCGGCATAGAAATGTTTTAAATAAATAAATAAATAAATAAATTTGTGTTTTCTTTTTCCCTGTGATAGTTCTGCAGAAGTTGTGCGGGGGGGGGAGGGGGCACTGGTTTTTGGGAAAAAGGAGTTTCTTATGAATTGGGCAGGGGTATGCTAATATCTTTCCAACTCCCCCCCCCCTTCTCTTAAAAATGACCCAGAGAGCTTTGGCTAATGATAGTATAGAAATGGAATTAATGGCAAGGGCGGCTTGGGCCTGAGCTTCTCCCAGCAAAAGGCTCCATTTGGGATCCTTCCGTCAGCCCCCACTATTCGTTTCCACACACATTCCCCTTCATGGGTCCTGCATGGCCCCGTCCCTGCAAAGAACGCCCCCTGCCCTGCAAACTTGTTCTTCCTGTTACTGATTTTATCTTTCGTAATCCAGCACGATAGGATGCAAAAATACGATCCTTGGGGAAATGGAGCAGGAGAAAGGTGGAAAGAAGATGGCACCCAAACGTTCCAGGTTGACACTCAGACAATAGGTGCCACTCTCATGAAGGGGGAGGTTGCCTTGGAGACAAAGCTCCTGACAGACAAGACCCGCGGTTCTTGGCCTGCTAACCATTCCACTCTGACCCTAGACAGCCCAGAGGGTCTGCGTGGCGCAGCGGTTAAGCGCGCAGGACCGGGACTCGGGCGTTCTGGGTTCGAGTCCCCGCTCGGCCATGGAGCCCACTGGGGGACTTGGGGCCAGTCACAGACTCTCAGCCCGGCCCACCTCACAGGGCTGTTGTGGGGAGAGGATTGACAGCAGCAGGGGGAGAATGATGCGAGTTGCTCTGAGTTCTTTGTAAGAAACAAGGTGGGATATGCATCTAATACGTAAACAAATAATAAGGATCTCCATACATCTTTCCCCTTACATGATTCTGTACCCTATGGTCCCTATCTATGGGAAGCCCTCTGCCCCACTCCTAGGGCCATTTGCTAAAGTGGAGGCCAGAGGCTGTGACTGCGTCGGATTCTCCTGGATTAGCCCCCTCGGGTGCTTCGTCTCCGGCTGCTCCCTTGCCCCGTGAACCTTTCGGCTTCAGGGTGTTTTCTTTCTGCAAAGACTCATCTCTCAGCTGTCCAGGCATCCCCTGTTACAAATAGGTGTGTATTTAGGAGACAGGCGCTGCCAAGAAACTCACGCGGAGTCTTTGGAACATACGTGCCGTTCAATGGGCAAATTGTCTGCCGTATGGACTCGAGAGCAGGGTTTTCTGGGCCCGGCCACAGGCAAGCCACTCTGCCCCAGGCAATGCCACATCCTGGCAAGCGACCCGCTTACCTTCCCCGAGTGTTTTCCCAAGCGCCACCTTGTGGCGGTCAATCATTACATCTCGGAGTTTCTCTTTCAGTTCCTCGCTAATGCCCAGACTGTTTACTGTAAGAACAGAAAAAGGAGAAAGAGAAGTGATGTGGTAACACATTACACAGAATCAGGAACAGTGGTTCCTAAATTCTAATTCAGAGTGAGCTATCAGCAAAGGAAGCCCTGCATCAGTGGGGTTCTTTATCCATTGCAGCTTTCATTTTGAGATTTATAGCAACAATCCATGGTGCACTGAATGCTGGCTGCAACTGATGAGGAGACGTGCTGATGTAGCAGTCACTGCCATTTCTGGTGTGCCATCTGGTGTTTGGACCCGCACAGAAATAGAAACCAGGACCCTCAGGTACAGAGATGGGAGCTTCAACCCGTAGGCTGTCTGAGAAACAAGGGCCCAGGAACTTGTGACCAGCCAGATGTTCATCCCTCACGACGCTGGCCATGGGCCAACCGTTCTGGAGAACCACCAGGTGTCTGCCCTGCACCAGCCCGTCGTGCCTGCCACTGAATGGAGAGCATCTCCCAAGCTTTGAGTGGCTTCCAGCCCAGTTTTCCACGTGGCTGAGAGCCAGTCGTTGGGGTTGGTTCAATCCACCCACCCTTGGATGTCTGGCCGTTGACTAAGGCAAGCCAGACGGGGCTTGTTTCCCAGACAGACTCCCCTGACCTGGTCTCTTTTCACCAGCTACTTACCCGACGGCTGAACCGCCTCCTTGCTCTTTGACCCAACACCAGACTAGGACCTGCCTTGAAATAGGCTTGGCCGGCCACACAAATCCACATCCCTGAATGTATTTGGGACAAGCTATACCAGCTGGATTTCAGAGCCAGGCTTTCTATGCAATGCTCTGAGAATATAAATTTGAACGAGAGAGAACTACAACAAGACAGTGCCATCTTTCTTGGGCGGGAGGACTCCCTTCCGGGTTCCAGCCAGCCAGGCCCTCCTCCAATGGACTCCATTTCGTTCCCCCGGTTTTCTAGTTTCTTTTCCTTCGGCACTGAATGCTGCATGGCTGCTGAATCCACTTTCTCAAGCCGTTTGGGAGCTTTTTGCCCGTTCCCGTTACTCAGTGGCCATGCACCTGCTGTTTATTCTGAGAGGGGACAACTGCGATTCCCGGACCTGGGAGGCAGGTACCTTGAACAATGTCTACAGGAAGAATGAAGGCTTCCCATTGAGTGTTCAAAGCATCTTTAAGATGCAAAAGTGTTGCACAACCAAGGCCACCCTTGACAAGCGGAAGGAGAGGCACTACGGCCCAACGTTTATGAAGAAGGGTGGGGTGCAGTGTCAGTGAAATTGGGGTGTGAAGAGGCAATGGTTCATAACCGGGATGAAGAGGAGGGAGCGCCCCAGACTGGGAAATATTAACATTTTTGGCTCGGGCCTCACGCCGTGGGCTGGAGAGATGCAAGGCGAGCCCCCTCCCGGCACTCACGCGTGGCTTCCGTGGTACGGCGGCTATAGGATTTCCGGACACGGTAGTGAACCACGAGCTCGCCCTGCTCCATGCTGGGCTCAAAGGCCTCCCTGCAGAACAGAGGGATGGGCAGAAAGCGGCAGTGAGGCAGAGGGTGTCAGGCATGCTGAGCCCCTTCCACGGGGCCTATTCCCTCCCGTCCGTTCCCCTCTTACCCATAACGGGTTTCCTTCCTCCTCATCTGTGCCACGAAGACGGTGATGAAGATGGCGGCTGCAAAAGCAGTGGCGACCGCAATCGCCACGTACCACCAGTGCCAGGAAAAGGTGGAGGTAGAAAGTCCTACTGTGGAGAAAGGTGGTAAGGATGAATGGGCACAGCCCATCCTTTCCTGCTGCAGCTGCTGCTGCTGGGACTGGAAGAACGCAGGAGGGATCCAGTGACCAGCCTGGGACCACACAGAACCCTGCCGGTAAGATGGGAGAGAGCCTGTGGCCTCGGAGACCCGCCTGGGTCACCAGAATTGCCGGCACTTCACCAGATCCTTTGAAGTCAGATGTTATATTCTTTTTGGCATCGGGCAAAACCCTTTTTAATTTCCTGTTATTTTAATGTTTAATTGATTTTAACTGGGGTTTTAGTGTATTAGTTGTCGAATGCTGTGGAGTTTGTTTTATTACACTCCTATTTTGTAAACTGTCCCAAGACATTTGTAGTGGATGGGTTAGAAAAGCTTTTAATAATAAACAAAAACAAAACAAAATCATCATGAGCGAAGCTGGCAGGAGCAGGGGGTCAGACTAGATGGCCCAGGAGGTCCCTTCTGACTTGCCTAGTTTCTAAAATAAAATAAATAAATCTTCATACAGGAACATGGATGGGGGTTAAATACTAAGTCTTCTCCATGAGCTTACCTTCCTTTCTAGCAGCAGTTGCAAATACATTCTCTCTCTCTCTCACACACACACACACGGGGGCGGGGGGGGGAGGTGGCTTGTGCCCATGGGAACTGGAGTCACGGAGGGCAACGGATAGGCAGAGCTATGGGGCTGCCGTGGGCAGAACCAAAGGGCCCCAGTGACCCACAGCAGCAGCCCCTTGCACAGAAAAGGGAAACTGAGTCAAATCAGCTTTGAGATCACGCCCGTGAGGCCGAAGATCAGAAAGTGGGAAATCCACACAGAGGCTTTCCTTCACAACCACATCTTCCTCTTCCAGGTACAACCCGCACACACTTATGTGAGATCATGCATAAAAAGTGGGAAGGAGTGTTTTCTCCTTGGCACTCTCAACATCGCACCATTCCTTCTTCCCGATGGAGCTCCACCTGCACAGGGCAACAGGCCGTCCCCGCACAGGTGTGCGCACAGGCCTTCCTGCTGGGTAGGAAGCAGGAAAGCCACAGGCCGCTGCGCATCGCCCACCCTCCGAACCCGGAACCGTCCAAGGGAAAGGCCCTGTGCCATATTCCTGATGCTGCCCATCGCAACCTCCCCGTCTTTTCCTAGTGCATTCTGGGTAGAGCACTCCAGCCTGTCACTCACCTGGCTGGGGTTCTGGCAGATTTTCACCTGCAAGGGAAAAACCAATAAGTCAATTATTTGAATATGGAGCTGATCTGAGCCAAGCAAACGGGGCCTCAAGCAGAACCTGCCCATCTCCTGGGCACTTCAAAGTGCACCAGGCATTTCAAGATCAGAAAGCAATAAATAGCTGCTGCTTTAGAACTGGCTTTAGGTTCCGGGGGCCTTACAAGGCCCTGAAGCCAGAACGAGTCACACGGAAATGCAAATCAAGCAATTCTGCTTTATCAAAACCAGACCTAAGACTGGAATTTTCCAGACTCAGAATCATTCTGGGAAAACTGAAAACTTTAAAAGTAGCCAGAATTAAAAACAACAACACCCAACAGAGCCAAAAGTCACCTTTGGAAGACCCAGCAATGGGTTTGGATCAGGAATGCTGGACCCATTTAAGAACTGCGTTTCCAAAAGAGCAATTTTGGTAGCCAAACTATCCATCCTGATAGCCATGGAATGATTTGCAGGAATCATTGGCTACCAAGCCCTCTGTTTTATTACTCTTCAATATCCTTTAATAGTTCCCATAATCCAAAGTCCAACTTCTTTGATTCCTTTCCAGTGGAAATTCTAAATTCTTCCCCATTTTTTAAAATTCAAACATCTGGTCCTGGTTTGGATTCAAAGGGTTTTAAAATGTCGGAGTGCCCCGCCACCCTCCACCTGGTCTAATCTCTCTCCCCATCCCACAGCTTCTCCCCAGGGCGACCCACTGCTTCCTGCTTCTCACCAGAACCTGCGGACGACACCAGGATGGCCTCGCTCCAGGGACCGTCGCCGGCACCCGTGTAGGCTGCGACTCGGACGGTCAGGTTGCGCACTGTCGAATTCAGTGTCAAGACTGTCTCGTTCGTCAGTCCCACGTCCACGACGACCTGGCAGGAGAGCGGGGTGATGGTGCTGGGTAGGCCACCTCCCAGATGGACGCCTTCCCCTGCTCTTTTAGGGGCTCCCGGCCTCGGGGCAGTTCCCCCCTCAATTCTCGAGGTGCTTAATGACGGGCAATAAGAGCCCGAAGCTGCAGGATGCCGGGATCGGCCCTGCCCCTTTTGCCCGGAATCCCGTCCACTGCGGGAGCGTGGCTGCCAAGAAATGGGATCCAGTCCTGGCGCCGAAAGATGCTCAGCGCCCCTGGAGTGGGAGGCGGCCGAGGCACGTTGGGGAACTGGCCCACCCTGATGAGGGGCGCTCACCTCGGGCAGGTCGCCGCTCTGGCACACCAGCTTGTAGCCACGGATGATGCCGTTGATGCTACCCTGGGGCTTCCTCCACTGGATGATGGTGCAGCTGCCGTTCTGGATGGCCGTGATGCTTTCGGGGGCGCCGGCGGGCACTGTGGTGGTAACGCGTGTTAGGGGGGAAATGCTCCACACCCCGGCCCAGGAGGGGCAAAGAGGCCGCTGCTGCCACGCACGTAGGGAGCGAAATGCCAGGCCTCTGCCCCACATCGCGCTGGCGGGGCATGGGGCGAGCAGCTCCTGGTCAGCCCCGAATTCACGCAGCGGCCTTGGGCAAAGCGCTTCCTCTCCGTGCCTCTGCAGAGCAACCTGGCCTGGCTTTTAGGGCCTGCTGGCAATCTTGCGCATGAGCAGAATTCTCCCCCTGCAGGAGAAGTGACCCGTCCCGCACAGGCGCCGCAGGAGGTGCGGATCTCACACGCCCCTGCTTGAACCTGCTCAAAAGTTTTGCTGCTGCTTAAGGAACGATGGCTAGGAAGAACCAAACGCCCCGGGAGAGGGGCTTCCAAGCCGCTGCTGCATTTTCTGCCTCCCAGCGCACCCTCCGCCTAGGGGAGCGTAGAAGGATGCCGCAGGGTCTCTCTGCTCCGGGATCCTGCTTCCCCAGGGCCAGTTTGTGCCTGAAAGGGAGGCTCACAAGGGGATATGGGGAGAAACATCCCTCCCGAGCTGTGAGCCGAGTGATGGGGATGCCGGGCCAGCTAGCTTTGCATCCCGGAGCGGCTGCAGAGACATCATGGGCTGCCGCAGCCATTAACAGCATTGCCTGGGCACCTTTCTCCGCCCCAGCAGAGGTGCTTGTATTTATTCGTGAATTCACATTTTCTCCTCTGCTGCAGGGACCCTTCGGAGCAAGGGGTCCGAAGGGTCCCGGCTGCGGATGAGGGTCCCCTTCCCGTGTGTGCTCGGTTCTGGTGGCGGGTCCTGTCCTTTGAAGACCAGTCCTCCTCCCCGGCTGTCGTTTTCTGGTGGTGCCCAGAGCGGCTTCGCAAGGGCCAGGCGCGCCCGGGACCCCAAAACGGCTCCAGTCCGTCCCTTGCCCCATCATCCCCACAGATCCAAAGCAGGAATCCAGGAGTCGCGGCCCCCAAGCCTGCCCCGCTCCCAGTGTCCATCTCACCTCCTTCCAGAGTGTCCATGGCCACCCAGTGCGTCCACGGGGAGTTGCCCTCCTTGGAGCGGCAGGCCACCCGCACGTGGTAGGTGGTGAACGGGGCGAGGCCGGCCAGGGTGTGGTGGAAGGCGGGCACGCGCAGGTTCTGGTTGTACAGCTCCCTGTCGGACACCGTGCTGAGGTCCTCATCCGAGCGCACCGCCTGGGAAAACGGCAGGGTGAGACGGGGGCACGGAGCGGGGATGAGCGGGCAGAGGCAGCTGCTCTGGGCCAAGCCCGCGCCCTGACTGGGGGGCTCTCCGGAAGGGGGTCTCCCATCCCCAGCTCTGCATCGGGACGGCCTCAGCCTGGAGCCTGAACCGGACCCGGGAGACCTGGTGCCGAGGAAGGATGTGTGCAGGGCTTCAGACTGGCAGGCGGCTCCTCCCCACTGTGTTTACCTTAGTGTAAGCCTACAGGGCTGGATCAGGATGGCTCTGCATGGCGTAAGCATGCGAGTCCTGGCTTGGAGTGGAGCTGGCATGCGGGGGGGGGGGCGGAGGTTAACCCTCCCCGTTTAGCCACGTTGCCACCCACTGATGCGTCACATGGAGGTCAACTTTAAGGCCTGCTCCTTGCAAGAAATGGAGATGGAGGAACTCTGCAAGATGCCACTTCAGAGGACAGGCCGCAGTTTTCAGTGCTCCCTGGTCTGGAAAACTCCCAGTATGTGAAGCATTCACACAACTGAGTCAGAGCCTTTCTCCCCAGCGCCAGGCTTTTGCTTCCCAACAGGGATCCATCTGATTATGATTATTTTTTCAATAGGTAAGAATGTTACCATCCCTGCCACCTGCAGCCAGAGACAGCGCAGGGTCAGGGCCCGGGGGCTAGAATTCCCCTCGGCTATCAGTTTTGTTTCTCGGCTCTTGATTTTGGTTGCTCAGGCTTTTTCAGTTCCCCATCCTGGGGGACTTCGCATCTCGTGTGGCCTGGACAGGAAGGGGGGCAGGGGAGCGGATGTCCGATGGAAGCAGAAGTGGGACAGGAAATGGCTCCTAAAATTAAAACAGAACTCCTTTCCAGGGCAGGCACAGAAGTGGGAGTTGCATAGTCCTTCTCCAAAGCAGCTGAACGTTGCTTTGTTCCCTGGGCACGTGCCCTGCCCGCCTTTCAGAAATCTTTCTGTGTGCTCGGCCTCTGTTTTTACCTGGATGGTACAGACCTCCAGTGCATAAGCACCACTGGGGCCTGGTTCCCACGCCACCTCCAAGGTGCGGTCCGTGCGATGCACGAGAGATAAGGCCCGTGGGCGCCCAGGTATCACTGGGGGGAAACAGAAGAGAGCAGGTGACAGGTACCACAAAAGGTGCATGTTCTCTTTAGGTAGAGCAGATACAACTCCGAGTCCTTTTCTAGGGGCTTGTTCATCACCGGAAGAAGGCAAGAATGAAAAAAGACACAGTATTCAAGGTACAGCAGTGCCTCTCCAAAAACTGCACCTTAAGTGCACAGATGTGTTGAGAGTCAACCTGACCGCTCAGGATGGCACCCCAAGGACACCCCCCGCCATCCCTCTCACCTCTCACCGCCGCAGTCCGAGATGTGCTCACGCCTTTAGCATTATGGGCTTCACAGGAGAAGGAGGCGCTGTGGTTCAGACCTGCACAAGCACACATTAGTCATGATCAGGAGGGGCCGTATTTTAAATTGCATCCCTGTTGCAGTTGTCGGTCCAGCGTGAATTCATGCTTCTTCGTGAAAAAATGTCAAGCATTTGCAATATAATGACTGGGGTCATTAACATTCCCAGTTTTCAGGCAGGGAACCGAGGCTGCAAGATGATGAAGCTGATGCATTTAAGGCTGCGTGGAAACTTCGATCTGTCTCCCAGGTGCAAATCTAACCCTACAAACCATGAGGCGCTCCTTGGTAACACTGTATTTCCCAAAACATGAAAAGACCCCTGCAACGCTGGCAGCCTTCCCATGGTGCACATCAGGAAGGCAAGCTAATAATGCAAGCTGTTATAGCTGTGCGAAAGGAATACTTCACTTTCTGGGAGAGGGGATGGGTGGGCGGGAGGGAGGGAGCCAGGCTTTTAATGAAACCCATACGCCCCATCCCCGAACCCCACCAACGCTAGCAAAGCACGCTTCCCACAAGGCATTCAAAAGAAGTCGCTGAGAGAAGGGAAGAAGGCCCCCTCCCCAGGATTTGAGCCCTGGACGATGCCCAGACCTCTTACACCCAAGCCTAGCATGCTGCAGTGGGGACTTCTCGAGAGTAACATACAGCAGCCTTCTGCCACACCTATGCACACTGTGCAGACTGAAATTAGCAGCGGAGAAACATCAGGCCAAAAGCTCTGGGGACAGACAGCCACAGCTTGCCAGAAACCCCGGAGGCAGAGCTCTCCGCACCCTTGCCAAGAGTTTCCACGGGCAAGCAAAACAGAATAAAAATCACCATTTTTCCCCGTTGCTACACTGACTGTGCAAATAAAGTTCCACATTATGTTGAAGTTAGCCATACTGATCTGCAGAGCAGAAAAGGTTTGACCGTAATGTCTTCCCCACAGCCTGGCCTTCTGAGTGGGAGTCAGGGTCTCCAACGCCACCCTCATGGCATCACCACCAACACGGTCACCACGCCAGAAGTAAGGGAGGTGGCAAGCAGGAACAGGGCCTTTTCAGGTGTGGCACCTCAGCTGTGGAACATGCGCCCCAGAGAGGTGCGCCTGGGGCCATCCCTGCCATTTCCCAGCACCAGTTGAAAACTTTTTTATTCTCTAAATATTGTAATGGTTAGCTCTGTGCGACTTATTTGCTGAGCTAGTCTGAAATATGATTTATCAATTCCTGCTGTCTCAGGTCATTGTTCTGTGGTTGCTGGGGGTGGCATTGCTTCTTTTAAAGTATTTTATGAGTGCATTGTTTCTACTGTTTTAGTGAGCATTTCATGAATTGTATTTATGATGTTAATCATTGTAAACAGCTCTGAGAGCCTGTGGACTACAAGGCAGTATATAATGGCAATCAGTAAAGAGAAATGTACACTTGTGTCCAACGTTTCAGCCTGTGAGTCTGTGAAGATCCAGACCATGACATCTCTGCTCACGGTCCAACATGGCCACAGTGCATTCAAACCTTAACTGTTGTTGGTGTTAGTAGCAGTAGTTGTTGTAGTAAAAACTGCTCTTCAGCAAAGCTTCTAGGGGAAGTTTACAGAAGAAAATACAAACTACCAAGTTGTCATGCTGATCCTGCGTACTTGCAGTTCAAGACAGGCTGACTGAGAAATGTTTCCCTTTAGGAAAACAACCCAAACCCCTTCTCTAAAAAAACCCACTCCGAGCCGACGGCATCGCCAAGTCCGACCACACACACACTCCCCATAGTCGCCATCCTAACACCCCTTCTGGACCACACTCTCCGGTCCTTCCTGCACCCCGTAGGACAATGGCAGTCCTTCGCCTTTGACCCCAAAGACTTCAGAGGCTGTGGGGGTAGAGAAGGGGGACCGAGACCACTGCCCTGCAGCGGAACAGCTGGGGATCTGAGCCTCCCCCGTCGACAGGGGCCCTGCCCTCGCAAGAGGAACAGTCAGCATCTGGGGACAGCTCCATGTTGCGGCTGGTATGCCCCGTTCCTTCCGCCCACCCGTCTGTGGTTTGGGTTTCCTCTCGTCTGGTTCCCCCGCTGGCCCTTTTTCCTCCGTGCAGTCTGTCCCTCAAGCCAGGACTGCTGCATTCACTTATTCTGTTTAGGGAAAAGAAAGCTTGGAGCAGAGACCCAGGAATCTCTCTTCCTGCCTCCCACTCCGAGAGGTCCCATCAGCTTAGAATTGGGAAGCAGCAGCCGGGACGTGTCCCACCTCCGGCTGATCCTGGCCGGGCGCGAGACTTTAAGAAGCCCGTCGTTACTGGGATGCACCACTGACTGATGGGGGGACGCCACGAGCCAGGGCTCCATTTGGCTCAGCGGCCTTATTTGCAAGCTGTCCCACAGAATCCCTGGAGGATTTGAAGAGCAAGCTGGGCCTGCGCCAGCATGGAAGACGCCACAGCCTTGGCAGGTCCTCCGGGCCAAAACATCTGAGAAGTCGGACTTGCTGCAAAGGGAGCATTCCAAGAGGATCCGTTGTCTTGTTTCTGCTACTGGAAGTCAAATCAATTACTCTTATTTTCTCAAGAAATCGCCGCCTGTGACCTTTGTGTTTCCACATGACGTGGCCGTATGCCCTACTTTATATAGGGCCATCCTCTGCTTGAGAGGGTGTCAGAGGGCAGTCCTTTCTTTGGAGGTGTCCTCTCTTTGAAGGGCTGCCCAGTCTAAATGCAGTTTAGAAATACAAGCCTAAGAAGGGGCGGGGGGGGGGCTCTTGGTAGAATCTGGATGACGCACAGAGCAGATACCTGCTCACCTGGGGGCACCTGCCCTCACCATGTTGAGAGGTATTGCATTAAATTAGACTCATGGTTTCTAAATTTGCAGCTATACAGACAAATCAGTGCAAGCTACTGAAAAAACCTACCCGATTAACAAGGCAGCTTACGATATCGAGCATTAACCACATTCACTGACGCTCAAGCCTCATTACCCTGGCTCATCTCACTATCAAATTTCCTGCAAGACGCTTTACAGACGGGCAAGCCAAACTGGACTCTGCATTATTACAAGGAAGGGGGAGTCTAAAACCTAACATTTAAAAAAATCAGCGAACCAATTAAAATGAATTAGAATCAAATTTAAAGTATCAGTGGAGGCCCGGCTACAAGTTTTCAGTTTTACTTAAAGGACTACTTTCCTTCCGTTCCTCAACAATGATTTTCTTTCTAGGAACGGCACAATGAAGGGGCGCACTCTGCTTCTAAAGTTTATTTTCAGTGTCGTATTTTAATGCGGAAAAGGGCGCCTGTGCGATGTGACAAGGAGAAGCTGACACGAGCGATTCATGAGCGCTGGCCGGCCGGCCGGCCAGTCAGTGCCCCGAGCCTTGTGCAGCATGTCATGGGATGGAGACGATTTCCACCAAATGTTATAGTGGGGAAATGGAGTGTTCACCTCCAGGTCCCAAGCATCAGAGTTGCTGGCTGGGCAAAAGCAGCGCGATCCCTCCCAAACTTGCGTTTAACTGCGCTTCGAGCACACCATTCCCACTTTGGAAACAGGCCAAACGGTCTCTGAGCCCACAGAGAAAGCTCGTCTTCTGACCACGCCGCTCCAGCGAGGGCTGAGTCAGCCCGTGGGCCCTCGAAGCCAGCCACCTGGACAAACAGATGGCAGGAGCGAAATGACGCTGGTGGCAAAGGGGTGCGGAAGAAGGGCAAAGCACCGCAAGCGCCGGGGGGGGGGCTCTGAGAAGGGGGGCTGAACGAACCGTGACCGCCCCCCTCATGTGGCTGTGCCTTTGGGCCGCATCCTGCACGGGCTGAGTCAGCACGTGGGCACTCTCAGCCCGCCGCCCACAAGGACAGATGGCACTGACAGACAGCAGCAGCGGCTGGGGCGGTGTGGGGGGGGGAGCCAAGCACTCCCCCCGCATGCAAAGATGCAAAATGGAGAGGGCGATGCCAACCACGAGGCCAGCACAGGAGCTTGGAAAGAGCCCTGCTTGGGGCCAACCCACCTCGCAGGGAGGTCGTAGTAGGTTGCAATTTTTTTTTTTTAGGTTGAAATTTTTTATTTAAATAAAAACACAGGGATAAGCCGGAGAGCAGGAGGAGCAAGAGAGTGGTGTAAGCTGCTTCTACGTGCTCAAAAAGAACAAGAAGTAGGATATCAATCTAATAAATACATAACAGCTCATCCCAACTGAAGTACCGTAACTCACCTCGCATGGAGCTGCCCCTTGAAAAATGTAAGCGGATCCGGAACGCGGCTGCTAAGGGGCTCACCGGGGGGGGGGGGGGAGGCCGCGTGAGCATTTTATGGCCATCTCTTTTAAAGCACCTGCACTTTGTTTGCAACCAGCGCGCATGTAAGCGCAATGAAGCGCAAGTGCTTACATATAAAGCCCCAAGCAGCTTGGGCCGTTCCACCCTTCCATTCCCCCCCCCTCCTTTTAGCGAAAATGATGTAGGTTAAAGAAGCCCTTTTATTCTCCTTGGTATTTCCTTTAGCGGCTCTAAATGTCTCTTTTTGTTACTTTAAACTGTTCTGACTCTTTTAATGTGGCCAGCCATTTTGACCAGTGTTTTACAACCGAAAGACAGGATGTGAGCAGTTTAACAAATAAATATACATATATTTCCAATGGTGTCTCAGCTGGACATCTCTGAGAAATTCTCCAACACAGCAAAGATGAGATGGGCTTGGAAACCAAGTCCTGGGAGGAAGGAGCAGGCAACATTCAGCCTCAGAAAGAGATGAAGGGTAATGTGACAGCAAAATATTTGAAATGAGGTTGCATGGAGGGAGCGAATTTGCTTTCTGTTGCTCTAGAGGGTAGGACCTGGACAAATAGGTCCAAAGTCCAAGAATATGGATTTTGACTAAGAATTAGGAAAGAGCTTCCCGATGGGATGAGCTGCTTGACAGCAAAACTGAAGGCCTCTTCAGGGTTCCTGAATCAGCAGGATGTGGACCAGGGTGAGAAGCATCAGCCAACGGCTGCTTCCTCCTCCGTGAATTTATCCAGTCCTCATTTAAAGCTGTGCAAATTGGAGGCTGTCCTGTGGCAGTGAGTTCCACAGTTTAGCTGTGTTATGTGAAGAAGAACTTCCTTTCATCGGTCCTAAATCTCCCACCCCTCAGCGTCACGGGATGCTTCTAGCTTCTAGCATTCAGGGGCCCATCTGAAAGCCACGCCGACATCCCCGGCCGCACATCCACGCGCCGTGGGACAAACCACGGTAGGAGGCGCCTGGAGCAACAATGACCTTGCGGAAACTAAGCTGCTTTCCCTGCACGTCATTCATTCTGTGCTGAATGGAATGTGGAAGCTGCTCACTTTTTGGCCCAGTCATTACCTCGTTTCCATCATTACTCCATAATCATTAAAATATTTTGCCCTTGAATAAAAGTTTAGGGGAATTTCACAACTGAGTGAATAAATGTGCTCAATTGATATTACATAGCGATACTTAATATGTGTATCTCTTTTTCCTTCATATATTCACCGTTTGTTATGGATTCCCGACAGTATGGCTCAAAACGGAATCTGCCCTTGAAACATAGAAACAAAGCGAGTCAGAAGGGGCCTCTTGGACCATCTAGTCTGACCCCCCCGGACTCCAGCCAGCTCCGCTCATAACATGCCTTCCAACAATAACGTTGACATTGTAAATGGAATCCCATCAGGTGTTGGTGCTCTGCCAATATTCATATTACATTCCGCAGGCCACCTTGACTTCTGATTCGTGTTTCTTAAATAAAATTGAGAATTGGTGGCCTTCTGGATACCCACCCTTCCTTTCTAGAGCTGTTGAATTCAGGGGGAGAAGACCCCACAAGAAAAGTAATTTGTTTATCATGAACTCCAACACTGGGGAACTGCCAGTCGTCAGAAAACAGAAGTTTGCGTGTGTTTCCCCAGGGCTGCGCTGGAATGTTCTGAGCACTGCCACGTCCGGATGCCTGGCGCTCGTAACATGCATGCGCCCTGCAGAAGCGGGTCATGGCACCGCAGAGCAGCCTTTCCCAGGAAGGTCGACACGCAGGCTGGTTTTCCTCTCAAACTGCAAATACTTTCCTCCCACAGCCAGGCAACCTACCGGTGTAACCTACTTTCCAGTGGCCTGGAGAAGCTACCAGGCATCAAAAGCATTAATCAGGCATGCCAAGGGCCAGTCAAAACCCCAAAGTGGGTTATATTTCAGCACAATCTGAGAACATGCTTTCAACACACCACAGGCAGGGCTGCCAGCGGACCAGAACTAACCCTGCTCTTGCGCCTTCAACGGCAGTTGTCAATCAGCAACGCTTTTCGCAACACAGGCAAGACCATCTGGCGAGGCCCCCGTTTCCAGCCACGGGAAAAGCACGGCGACAGCGAAGGACGGTCAAACCGGCAACGCGGTGCGCTGTCGAAAGGGCCTTTCTCATTGCTCCTGTGTCTCCATCTGAACCACAGGCGCCTCCTCACATGCTCAGCTCGCCTCTGCCCCATCTAATCCCCCAGCATCCCTTTTCCTTCACACATCACCTCTCCATTCTCACGAACTTCTCCCTGATTTTGGGAGGCCGCCGTCCCACCATCTCGCATTGCCATGCGACCTCTCTCCTTCCTGCCCCGTCCCTCCAGGTTTAGGAAGGACAGGAATGGAGCCACTTCTAAGAGGAAGGGGTAAGACCGCTGGGCTACCACCCAGCCCAGAGGGTGGGCAGCTCACTCTCTCATCCTTTCCTGTGTCCACCAGTCCAGTGCCGGCGGAAAGGGTGCCCCCTGTGCCCCCCTCGGTCCCGGTTCCCATCCCTCAGGGCCCAGATGTGAAGCCTTGACTCAGCAGCGTGTCATCGGCTCCAGCATTCCCGTTCCTTGACTCACGCGCGCTGCGAGCGGGCTGAGCTAGGAGCGGAAGAGGCGGAATGGCAGGCATGCAGGGCAGGGCACGGCCGGGCCGAGCACACCCCGTTCGAGACCCCAGAAGGGTTCCGCTCGGCCTCCCTTCTGAAGGGACCGGGACGGGGGAGAGCGGGGACGACGGCGTGTGTGCCCGGCTCGTGTCGCCAGCGGAGACAGACTCTGGGAGGGAGGGGAACCGAAAGTGCTTCGAGAGACGCCAGGCATCGCTTCCGCGTGCTCGGTTTGCTCCTGTCTTACCTCCGGGCAAACAGGGCCGGGGTTTTGTTTTGGATGGCGGGCTTTCTCGAAGCCTTTCCAAATTCTGCACAACCTGCCTGACTGCAGGGGGCAGTGGGGCAAAGGACACGTGTGCCCACGGAGGGAACTGCCTGTTCCAGTGAGGGAGGGGGGCCCTGGGCACAGCACATGCTCAGAGGCACCCTGTCCCTCAGGAGCGACTCTTTTGTGCTGGACGCTGATGGATGGACTTCGGGACTTGAGCAGGAAACGAAGCAGATCCCCCAAGCCTGCCCAACTCGGGGGTGATGACAGAACCACCAGACTGGGAAGGGACCTCAGAAACAATCTGCCCCAGCCCCTGGCACAGGGCAGTGTAACGGCGCTCCGGCCTCTCTCGTCTCCACCACTCCCATCCCAGCCCCAGACCCTGACATCTGCAGGCGTAAAGGTGCTGGCCAAATCCTGCATCCACGGTGGCCTGGTCCTCGGTTCCTCCCTGCAGGGGTTCCAGCGAAGAGCGGCCAGGGGAAAGCCGCCGGGGGGCCCGAGCAGGAGGGCAGTGGGGGGGGGGGGGTCGGCACAGCAGCCAGGGGGAAACGCCAGCAGGGCCAGGTGAAGCAGGAGCGCAAAGGACAGGGGCAGGCCAGGAAAGGACCCCCTATGTGGTGCAGGAGAGCAGCTGCTGGTCCCTGGAGGGCCGCCAGAGCTTAGCCGGCATCTGGGTTTGCCCGCGTTTTTCTCATGGGGGGTTGGAGCCTCGCAGCATGTGTGAAGGAAGGAAGGAAGGAAGGAAGGAAGGAAGGAAGGAAGGAAGGAAGGAAGAAGGGGCACGGTACGCCCCACCGCTTGCAAGAGCCTTCCTTTCACCAACGACGAGCAGGTACCTTTGCTCCCCTCTGCCCGAGATCAGAAGCCGCGTTTCCAGCTCAGGGGTACGATTCGCAGCAGGACTGAAGCAAACCCAAATCCAGCCTCCTCGTTATTTTTCAGAGCGCTGCAAGCTGCCAAAAGCAGCAAGCGACGCTTTTTTCATAGCAGGACGAAGCTAGACATGATCCCCGGCTATCGCTGAAGATCAGGCTGCTGCCGGGGCCTGCTCAGAGGCGCCCCGAAGCAAAACGGAGCTTCTCTCCGCTCCTGCAGCCTCAGGCCTCCAGGTTTTTCGGGTGGAGGCCATGATCTCACATGGTTGTGGCACAGAGCAACTGGGAGGAGGAGGAAAACGGTACACACCAGCCAACAGCCCAGTCCTTCCCATTGCTGGCTGGGAAGGATGGGCTTTGTGGTCCAACGCATCTGGAGACCACCAGTTTGGGGAAGATGGTGGACACTGTTCCCAGCTTCCTCAAGGAGAATGGGATGGAGACGGAACGGCAGGAATCGATACGCATCCACACGTGTTTCTCCCTTGTTGTGTGTGACTCACAGCCCCTCCCGTCCCCGAGGTCCAGGGGAATGTTCCAGGCACAACCTCTCACCCAACCCATAGCAGCCCCTCCGTCTCCACAAAGCTCGCGATAAGGACGCCTGGTGTTTCCTGGCACTCAGAGCGCGTTACGTTCGGGTTATCCATATCGGCACAGTAGTCAAGGTGGCCTACCTTGCAGGGGCGGTTTTGCATATTGCAAAGGTTAGTGAGATCGGGAACACGAAGCATTCCAAAGGAGAGCACCGAGTGCTGCTAGTGAGGGGCACACATGTGTACGCGAGCACGTGCACGCCCAGACACACACACGCACGCACGTGCACACGGGGCCGGTGCCCGGCTGCCATTTGGCAACCCCGGCCAGGCCCGTTCCCACGCTCAGAGCAAAGCCCCCATCCCGGCCATCAGAAACCAGCCACTTGCATAGAAGAGGGAACAAAAGAGGCTGCGGGTTGGGGACAAGCTGGGCTTTGAGGGGGGGCCACGAGACAATGAACAAGGACGCAACGCGCTGGGCTGGGGGAGGGGCACTCACGAGGCGAGGCTGAATAGAGGGCGCGAAGAGGGGCCGCCTGCCTTCGCTGCCCCCCCTTTCCACTCCCACCCCTCAATAGCAGCAGAGCAGGGCTGTTGGGAGAATCAAAATTCCCTCTTTGCAGTCAGTGGAACGGCGAGGAAAAGAAAAGACCGTTTTTGGCTCGGTTACGGAGAGACGAAAAAGGAAGACGAAGCACGGCCTGAGCCAGGCTCTGGCCGGACTCGGCCTTCCAGCCATTTTCAGCTCTGGGGCCTGGTTCTGGGACTTGCCGAATGAAAAAAGGAGGGTGCTCCTGAGCACCTGCAGAGCGCGCATCTTCCCTGGCCAAGCAGCCCGCCAGTCGAAGGCAGGGCTAGGGCAGAGTCTGGCCCTAAAAACAGAGTGCCAGCCGGGAAGGCAAAGGCGCAGGCCAAACCCGGAGGAAGGGCAACAATTTTGGACCAATTCAGGAAAAGCAGGGAAAAATTGAGAGGGGGTGGAAGGGACCCTTCCCAAACATCAAAAGGGGCCTTCCTGGGAAAAGGCTTCTTAGCCACACATGGGGCACAATCCCACAGAAACTCTTGCACAGGCTTGCTGGATATGAACGGGAGCTGCTATGCTCTTGCCCGGCTCCCACTGATTTCGATGTGTCCAGCGCAGGACGGCTTGCACTCAGTGGCTCTGGTCCCTGCCATCCTGCAAGGCACACGCGACTCAAGCATCTGCCAAGTGGCTCGGAGCAGCAACGTCCTGAATCCGCTCGCTGCGACGGATTCTGAGTGGAGGAACCGGCGGCCCCCAGCTGGACTCACCTTGCAAAACCAGCACGGAAGGGGTCCGGGCCAGCGGCTCCGCCAAGGAGTGGAGGGGGATGCTGTCCTGCAGCCAGATCACCAGCACCGGTTCCGGCGGCCCGTGGGCCCAGCAGCTGAGGTTGAATGGGGTATTGGCCGTGATCTCCAGATCCTGCGGCTCCTCCGTGAAAAACGGGAGACCTGGGCAAGGAGGAGGAGGAGGAGGCTGAGCAGGCAAACACAGCAGGCACAGGTGCTTGGAGGCATCCGAGGTACCCCAAGCTCACCTACTTCTGGACCGATAATGACCCCCTAGAACCTAATGGCACAACCACTGTCATTGTTGAAACATGGGTTACCTGAACCTGTGTTGTCCGAACCCAGCTGCATTAACAAACCATGGCTTGTTCCCCATGAACAACCCTTGAATAGCACCCACAGCTTGTTGTTGGCTTGTGATTTGTGGGTTGTTCTCCACGGTTTCTTATATTTTAATTTAAGCCACAGAATATCTGCAACAGAGACGCAGACATCTCTGAGCATGTGCAGAGGGCGATTCCTTCTGCCCTGGGAATCTGAGTTCTGGAATTAAGTGGCAAGACTTGAAGTTCGGAAGAAAATAGTTACCAAACAGAGACACCACTTTGTCAATGCTGGAAATCAGGTAAAGGGAACAATGGCATGTGATCCTATGCAGAGCGTTTGGCTGACTAGACTGAACCCGATCGGTCATATTCCAGACACAAACCGTCCTGCATTTGGCTGCGTTTTGGCACCGGCGCGGTGATGCTCGGCTTACAATCAACCCGTTGATGTGTTTGCTGCCAGCCAAGCTGAGGGAGCTCAAAAGGAATCCCTTTCACCCACCCTCTATGCTTCACAATTTTGGCAAAGTGAGGGATTGCCAGGAAATCTTCGCACCTAACTCCAGCCAGGACAGACAAACAGCTAAACCGGGGGGTCTCTTGTGCTTAAAGGGGGGCAGATCTCTTGACAGATAAGCAGCACAGCTCAAAAATGCCAAAAAGTGCACATCCTGGCTAGAAAATTAGAATAAATGAGAGCCTTGCCACTACAGCTCCTTCTGCACCTTGTTTTCGATTCCCAAGCGTGCCAGCTGGAAAACAGCTTCACTAGGACAAGACCATGCACGCTTTGGCGTTCTCCTGAATGTTCAGAAAGGATTCCAAGAAGTTCACTAGGCTTAGGAACACGAGGCCGTCCTTGCTACCGGCACATCTGGCCCAGAGGTGGCCTCCTCCAGCCTTCCCCAACCTGCTGCCCCCCCGGATAACTCCCAGCATTCCCCTGCCAGCAGAGCCAGGTGCATGGAATAACCTGGGAACCGTAGTCCAGGAGAACAAGCCCCTCACTGGGGACCAGCCCGGTGCCAACCTTACTTTCTTTTCGACTCCAGCTCAAGACCTTTCTCTGCTGCAGGACATATAATTCTTTCACTGGGGCTTTGTTGATTGTTTAATCAGGTTTTCTCTTGCTTAAATTATTGAAATGTCTTCATCAATATTAATGTTTACATGTCTACACTGTCCATAGCTGAAGCTCTCTGGGCAGCTGACAGCAGGATATAAAAACAAAAAAATGCAATACATAAAAACAACATGTCAAACATTTAAAAATTAATTAAAATGCCATTAAATACAATTAAAAAGACCTGGCCAAGAAGGAAGGGGGAAAAGACACCTGGATCAACCCACAGATAAGGCCCATAGATGATCAGAGAGATCTTTAAAGAGGGCCAACTTAACCTGCCACCAAAAAGATGGCAGAGTTGGCACCAGGCAGGCCGTAGTGGGGAGGTTTTCCAAAGAGGGTGTCCCCCTCAGGAAACGAAGCTGAGGAGGAGGAGGAGGAGGAGGAGGAGGAGGAGAGAGCAACACAGCAAGGTGCCAAATCGACAGGCAGGGTTCCTCTGGGCATGTCTGGCCCCAGCGCCAGCCTCGCTTAGGACACTCCTTCAGTTCTCCTGTTTGTTTCCTGCTTGCTTTATGTGCCGGCTGAACATGTTTAGCGTAGAAAGTGGGGTGTTTTGGAATGCTTTCCTAATAGCGAAATAGGGACAGTCAGCAAGCCTGCTGGAGCCGCAACGGCTCTTTATAACCCCCATTTACAGCCTTTCCGGCCTTTGTGCGAAGCTTCTAAGCGGCCGCTCAGGGATTCAGGCCACGATCTCTCACACGCGGCTGCGTTTACCTTCCAGCTGCAGGTAGGCCTCCTCGGAGAAGACTTCGGAGCCATTGACCCAGGCAACACACTGGTAGTTCCCAATGTCCAAGAGCTGCACGGAAGGGATGCTGCAAAGAGGGGAGAGGAGAATATTCACGCAAGGAATTAATTTAGCCTCTCAGCCCCTTGGGGCAAGAGCACGCAGGATCCAACCTCCCGTCCATGCAGAGGCTGCCCGGTTTGTGCAACTGGAAGCAGGGCGGGCGTGCAACAGCAGGGCAAGTGTGCGACACCCCCAACACTTGACGCACAAAGACATCCTGCCTCTGACACTGGAGGTAAGACTATGCATCCGGACGAGTAGCCCTGACAGCTTTGTTCTTCGAGGCAGCACAGGGCGGCCAGCAGAACTGCCTGTGTTAATGTATGCAATTTGCATGTTTAGAGGCAAAACAGAAGCCATGATTCTACTTGGAGTAAAACGACGGCGCATCTCCTTTCCGACTGGGTTCCATGGACCTGGAAGTTCACTGCTGCGCCAGAACTTGGGTCGCGATGCTGCATTGCAACGTATCGCCGGTGTTTGCAGGTTGCAGCTGCGAGGAATGCGAAATGATGCCACGTTTTCTACAACCCTTCTGAAAGCGCCGAGAAAGAGGCTCATGGTGCCCCACAGCCAGGGCCGTCTTCACGCGTGGGGCTGAGGGGCACTCGCCCGTGGGCCCCACACTAATCTGTGCATGTTCACCCTTGGAGAACTGGAAAACTTGCAAAATCAACAGCAGTTGTGGTCGTCACAGGGGCCCCAGGACACTGCTTTGCCCAGGGCCCCATCACGCTGCCACCAGCTACCTTCTCACCAAGTAGCCGTTTCGCTGTGCCTCAAGGGAAGGTCATCTTCTCCTTCCCAGGGTAACTTTTTCCATTACAGAGAGAACTGTAATGCACAGGGCTACAGTCCAACATTCCAAAGAAAAATATTTACTTTAAGCATCAGAATGCAAAATGTATCACAAGCAATACCATTAAAATTCAGTAACATAAACCGATGCAGAAATCCATCTAGGTAACGTTCTGCTACAAATATACCTGATATCTGCAGAGAATTGGGTGCATCTGGAATCAAAATTCACAACAAGATTTTAATGGCACTGTAATACTATCCCCTTTTGTATCCTGATGTTTGTGGAAAAAGTTTCTGTTTGAAAGTCTGGACCAGGGCTCTTAAACCTTCCTCAATCAGGGGCCTTCCAGAGGGTGTTGGATTACAATTAACAATAGAGTCAACAATGATCCCACAAGGACCTGTATTGGGACTGCCCCTAATTGATCTGGAATTAAGATTGGCCACTGATGTGCCCAGCTTTGCTGATGACACCAGATTCTTGAGGGTGGTTAAAACAAAAAGGGACCGCAAAGAGCTTCAAAGGAATCGTTCCAACCAGGGAGACTAAACAACTGACAAATGCAGTTCGTTGCAGACAAGTGCAAAAGGATGCACACTGGAGCAAAATATCTCAACCTCACATGCACGCCGGTGGCTTCCAAGCTGGTGGCGACTGGCCAAGGAAGCCACCCCGTGGCTGTGGGGCCATGGGGCTCTGCGAAGAAGCCCACCCAGGCTGTGCCTTCTGGGAGAAGGGCAGATTCCACCCTGGGCACAATTAGAAAAGAATTGGATGGACGGGAAGCCATTTCTCTCCCCTTCTTGCAATACCAGAATGTAATTATATCATCCTATGACTCCGACTGGGGGAAGATTCAAGACAGAGAACAGGCTGCAGCCCTTCACCTGGGCATATTTAAGCGTGACCATGAGATGTGGTGACGGACACCCAGCCGGGTGGCTTTGAAAAGGAAGAGAATTCCTGGAGGGGGAGGCTTGTTGAGGGCTACTCATCCGGGGGGGGGGGGGCATATCGCTCAAAGCACCACTTCTTGCGGCACACGCCATGTGGGGGTGTCAATGCACTGGGGACAAACTCGTGGGATCCCATGGGCAGCTGGCTGGGCGCTGGCTGAACAGAATGTTGGGCAAGGCCTTTTTCCAGATGCAGAAGGACTCTGCTTATATTTATTTATTTGCTTATTAAAAGCTTTTCTATCCCACCCCTACCAATGTCTCGGGATGACTTACAAGATATTCTTATGCAGTCCACCCATTTGGGGCACCAAGCAGGGAATGGCCACAAATAGTGTGCCGCCAGAGTGGGATTCTTTCTGATGTTAAAAGCCGAGGCAGGACAGAAAGGGCCAGCAGCTTCTCTGCTTTTTTAGAGCTCAGGATTCCTTCCTTGCCCATTTCCATATTCTTGGGGTTCAGTTCCTTGTTTTCTCTTCTGCATCCTAAGCAGCAGCACCAGGCAAAGCAAAGTATCTAATCTGCAGGCTCTTGCGTTTAATTTTGCAAATGTTCTTTAGACCTTTCTTGTTTGTCCCAGCTGCGCGTTGTTTCTTGTGCTGTTCATCAAAGCCAAAATGAATTTAGAAGCTCTCCAGAAAGAAAAGAAACAGCTATTAAAAGAACAAAAAGGGCTTTGCTGAGCCCATGCAACTAATGAATGATTAAAAAAAAAAAAAAAAACAGTGTGGGAACTAAAGGGTAGAAATTTGGTTTCCAAGAGGCAGCTGCAGAAAAAGACTGTCTGATTTTCAGTCACAAAATTTCAGAAGTTCTAGCAACATCCCCCAACAAGCTGGCCTCTAGAATTGCTGTACTACAACTCCTATCATGCATAATCAGCACCACCATTGGCGCTGGCTGGGTGGGACTTCCTGGAGCCCAACTATCCACAGTAGCGCTTTAAATTCAGCACTTCCTCTGCACCTGCAGAATAACACGCTTTCCAAAGAAAGGAGGAAACTGGCAGCAGGTCTGCTTCAAGCTCACCCTAGATGCAGGTCAAATACTTCCAGTTTTCTTCCTCTAAAGAGCATAATTCAGAGATGAGCATCATCAGGTCAATAAATGCCTTTTTTAAATGAAAGCCGAGAGTCTCGGGGGCTGCCCCTTTCATCACATACTGAATTCCACGCTCACGTGACACGGGCAGGCACCCAAGCAGCCCTGGCTGTTGAAAATAATATTGTCCTCACAAAATGAGCCCAGCTGCCCACTCACTGCCGCTCAGGACTGGGACAGGTTGTGCACTTTCTAATGGATTGGAAAGGTTCCAGCAACGCGCTCTCTGTGGGGCTGCCCTTGAAGATGGTCTGGATACTTCAGTTGATTCAGAATAGAGCTGCCAGGATGCTAATGGGGACCAGCCGGTTTTCACATATAACGTCGGTCCTCTGTCGGTTACACTGGCTGCCCATTCAAGTCCAGGTCCAATTTAAGGTGGGATGCAAAGGATTCTAGGTGGGCTCCGATAGGCAGACATGGACCCGATAGGCAGACATGATCTGCTCTCTTGCTCTCCCCTGGGCTGCTGGGGAAGAGACAGAGCACTTTCGCCAGGGGCTTGAACAGACGGCACGCTTAGGTGTTCTGAAACTGAGCCTGGGGCTGCAGGTCACCCATCCATACCTGAACTACAGCCAGGGAGACCTGCGTTCATATCCCTACTGGGAGTCCCTCCATCTAACCAATGTTTCTGGACCCTTGCAAAGATAAAAGAGAGGGAACGTGCCACATATGTGGCCCTGAGAGACATGGGAAGATCAGGAGAAAGAGGCCGGAAGCATCCAGAGCAGCCCTTAAAAGCACCACATATACCGATGGCATTCTCTTCAGGAAGGGTCCTTTTTCTCTACCCTTTGAAAATCCGGCTTGCCGCACCTTCTGGGCCCTGTCGGCTCCCAAACCCTTTCCCCTGCTTTGCCTCGCGACCCTGTCAAGCGGCAGGGAAAGAAGCAGGAGAGAAACGCGCCTGATGTCAGAGGGGGAGGCGAGGTGCCAGCAGCCCTCCCTGCCAAGTTTTCCTGCTTTGGGGTTGAGCAACTGGAAAGAATATTTCCCAGTGAGTCACACACACTCATGCACGCCACATGCACACGCACACACACACTCTCTCTCTCTCTTTCACACACACCCACACAGCCGGCCACCCCCTCCTCTCCTAGAGGAAGATGGTTAGCTGTTCACGTGAAGAAGGGGTGAGATCACGGCCTCGCTCAAACACGCCACCCCAGTTATCCGTCTCCCTGTTCCACAGCACGGCCTTCCCGCCTGATGCGGCTGCGCTTCCCCTCCCTGGAGGCCCCCCTTGCAGGCAGCTCTTTGAGCGAGAGCGCCGTTGGAGACCTGGCTTTTCTCCCAACTGGGAGCAAGGTGGAGGGCCACGATCACGAGAGGGCAAGTTTGGGGGAAAGGACGAGGAGGAGGACCAACTATGAGAAGGATCCATCCTTGAGCTGGCAAGAAAGGCGGGCTGGGAAGGACAGGGCTACTCCAGGTCTTTACTGATAGGGTCCCTGGGAGTGGGACATAACTCGAGGGCACATGAGCGCAAGGACAACAGCACCCCTGAAATGTGCCTTTATTCCTAGGTCTGGCTCTGTTTTTTATATATATGCTGTAAGCGGAGGCAGAAGACGCACAGAAGGCAAGGCAAGGCACGCCAGGCTTACTTTTATCAGTGCCCTCTGGACTTCAGCCCCTATAATCCACAGCCACCGCTGTCAGTCATGCTGGTGGAGGGTGATGGGGACTGTAGTCCAACCTATCTGGAAGGTAGCAGTTTGGGGTGTGCTGACCCATGTTTCCTCCTCACTAGCAGCTCCATCTTTGACCAGAAACCTGGATCCGCGGACTGATTCGCACAAACAGAATCAATGGGCGTCCATATCCCACTTTCTCGTTTCAGGAGCATTTCCTTTCAGGCCTTTGGAGGGCCCTGCCTGCCAGCCCTCCTGGCTCCCACCCCACACCGAACGCAAGAAGCACCCTTCACCGAGGACTAGCACAAGTGACGGTCAGCAGCGCCCCGGACATCCTCAAGCGCCCCGCCGCGGTCGCCCGCCCCAGGATCTCAGCGGCTGCCTTGGGGCTGCCCTTGTAATTTTCCAGCATGCTCCTGAGCTGATGCAGCTCCGGGGCAAAGAGGGAAGTGACTGGTGCAGCTGGAGCCAGTTCCTTATGCGCTGACTAGAGCAGGGGATCCCCCGGTGTTTGGACTCCAGCTCCCCAAGGTCTCTGGCCTGAAGGCCAAATCAGCCAGGCCGCGACTTTCCGCCTGCCCCGGGCTTTGAGTGCAAGTGCAGTAAAGGCACTTCAGCTTGCCAGAGGAAGCCGCTCGCAGAAGTGGCTCGGCCCAGGGTCCCCCGCAGCCCTGAAGCTGCCCCGGACTGGCTGTGTCCTCCCCACCCCCTGCCACCCAGCCCTTCCGAGAGGCAACGCCAGGTATCAAACCTGGCGTGCTTGGCCTGAAGAGCAGGTGCTCTTCCCCCGAAGCGTGGTCCCTACCCGTGCCCCCTCCTTTGCCAGCCCGCTGCATCTTCTGCTTAGGACTTTCCTTCAGGGTTCCAAGCCAGGTTTCCCTCTTCCTGCTCTGCGGCTCTGCAAACGTTAGGACTGGCAGGAGGATGGTCCCGCAACATGGAAGGCTCCCAGCCGGGGAAGCCGCCTTGGTGCGGAAGCAGTTGGGCCCACCTGCCCCACCAGTGGGGCTGCAGGGCGCTCACCTCAGGACGCTGGTGGTCATCCACTCATCATCTTCCAGGGGCACCTGCACTTGGTTGCTGTCGGCCAGCTCCAGGGGCGCGCCGTCTCTCAGCCAGCTGATCTCGGGGGGCTCCTCAAAGGCGAGGACCGAACACAAGAGCTTGACGTCTTTGCCCAAAGAGGAGGTCAGATTCGAGGGGCTCTCTTGAAAGTAGGCGGCTGGGGAGGAAAGAGAACGCATTGACGCAATATCCACAGAACCCAGGAGTCCGGCTGCACAGCTGTCCAGCTGCTTTCCTCATCTAGTTAGTTACCCCCAGCATTTTACCCACCCCCACCCCCAAAAAGGCTCCCAGAGCAGCTTTAAAAGCAGTCAACCCTAGCTTACAACCAAAAAGTCACGGCATAAAAGGAAAGGGGGTTGGGAGGGAGGAGGAAGAAAAACACATGCAAAATCAGGAACTAGTTCTCTGTCTCAGCATTCTTACAGGTGTTTTGTGGTAGGGAAAGGAAGAACAAGATCCCTGCAGCTGCGTAGGGCCAGGCTGGTCTTCCACATCATAATACTCCTCCAAGGAGGCGAAAGATGAGCCTCCTCCCTTGACCCTCCCATGCACTGCAACCAGGTGCTAAGTTGTTTTTAACACTCTCACAGTTTCCGCCTTATAACCTTGGGATTTGTAATTTTCCAGAGAAAACAACTGTGCAGTCTTTACGGGGAGCTACACGCACGTTGCACATGCTCAGAGGTCTACCCTTACTCTTATTTTGCACTTCACATGTCCCAGCCCCCCGCCTCATCCTGCAGAATGGCTCTCCCCTAGCAAGATCTAGGTCAACTCATTTCGAGGACGCCAGCTTGCCAAAGACTATCACTTTGTCTGCTCTCGCATCAATGGCAGCCGTCCGAAACTCAGAGAAGAGGATTATGAAGCAGAGAGCAAACCTGCCCAGCTCCCCGAAGCCGGCCAAAGCCGCTGCTTAAAGGCGCAAGAGCGAGGGTTTGTAAAAACATTGGCAGCCCCGTGGGCGGCAGCAGGAAGGACCTGACAGCTCTCCGATCCGGCCAGCCGGGCAAAAGACGCTCCTCCTCGCCCTCCCGTTCCCAGCTGCCAAGGATGGCAACCACAGGTGCTCCACCCATTTAAGCAGGGCTCTGAAATAGCCTTCCCCCAAATGCAGAGCCGTGTGGAACAGGGCAGAGCATGGGGCCCTCTTCCCAAAGTGAGAGTCCAAAGCACCTCTAAAGACGCTCGGACCCCAGGACGTAATGGGTTGGATGGGGTGGGAGGACAGAAGTTGCAGTCCAGCCTGTCTGGGGGCAGCTGGTTGGGGTAGCCGGCTGCAGAGGTTCACTTTGCCTTCGCGGCTTGCAACAATTCGCTGCTTGTTTCACTGCAAGCCGAGAAAATGCCACCTGCACAGGAGGTGGAAACTCAACCGGGAAGCCTCTCTTCCCATCTCTGCACCTCCAGCCATTACAAGTAGTTTGGAAAGATTCATCATCATGGTAATTATATTGTTATTGCATCATGGCATTTATATCCCGCCTTTCTTCCTCTTGTGAGGAACCTCTGCAGCTTACATAGCTCCAGTTTATCCTCACAACAGCCCTGTGAGGTAGGATGGGCTGAAAGGACGTGGCTGACCCAAAGCCCCCCAGTGAGTTTTGTTGGGACTAGAATCTGGCTCTCTCTGAGCTCCAGTCCAAAACTTACACTATGTAAGCTCCATGATCACTTTTAAATGGTATCTGTAAATACATTATTGTATGTTTTCTTTTCCACACACCCCTTTTAAGCCCCCAAAGCGTCTCATTAAATTTTACAGGCTGTAGCCTTTTGGGGACAGAAATACACACCACTGAGCAGATGGAAGAAAACGGAGCAGAAATCCATTCCATGCCACGAGAAGAGCTTTTCCTCTTGAATCTGTCGAATCACAAATCAAAGACCCACGATGCCCCACCCAACACCTACTCTAGAGTAAAAACAGGACGAGGGAGGGGAGACATGGCTGCTAGGGATGAACCCCAAGGCACGCCTGTGTTTGGCCAGGGGCTGCCTCGGCCAAGGCCCGACAGTCCGGCCAGTATCGCCACCGGCCAGTGGCGCCCACTCCACTTTAGCCCCCGTGCCGTCGGCCCGGGTCGTTCCTCGGAGCCTGCTAGCTCATCTGGAACAAAAGCGCGTCCCTCGAGCAGAGCGGGCTGTCCGTCTCCCCGGGCTGCAAAACAAGGGTGGAGCTTTTCTGTGACCCTCTGTGCATGGGATGGATGCCTGCGCCAAGGATGATCCGTGGGTGTGTGGGGAGCAGCGAAGGCAGCGGTTAATAAATCAGTCTGAGAATATCCTGCCACTGCTTAACCCCTAAGGAATGGGGCACATTCCAGAGCCTGAGAAACAGACGTCGCAGGCTTGGAAGAAACCCCGGTGCCTCGTGGGCCTTTCTCCAGGCTGGGCGAGGGGCGGGGAGCGCCCCCCTCCCAGAGCCATAACCAGTGTGGCGTCCTGGTTAGACTGGAAGTCGGGCAGCCAGTCCCTGGCGTGAGTCGCTGCCCAGCAGATGTTGAAGGCATGGTCGAGCAGCTGGACCAGAGGCCAACTAAAAGCAGAGAAGACGAAAACAGGGCATAGGCATCAAAAGACAAGCAAGTCGCCATCACTGCGCTGCAGCTGCTGGACTACAGGACTCAAGGGACATGGGTTCTGGTCCCCGCTTGGCTGGGTGGCTCCCTGGGCGACTTCGGGCCAGTGACTGCCTTGCAGCCCAGCCTACCTCGCAGGGTTGTTGTGAGGAGAAAATAGAGCAGTGGGAGCTCATGCAAATTGCCTTGGGTTCCTCCCAAGAGGGAATAAGGTGGGAGAGAGAGACAAGAAATGACTCCATGACTGCAAGATCCCAAACCTCATTGCTCTCTTTTCCTCTTCCTCTGTGCTGGTTGTTTCCAAAATCGATTGTAAGCACCTAGGGGCAGAGAGCATGATTTTGCCCTTCTCTTGCTTCCCCAAGCACTTCCTGGAGGCACTGATGGCATTTTCCCTGAGGGGGGGGGGACTGGAGGGGCCCCAGTCAGCAGTGGGATTCCACTTGCCCTGCATCAGCTGCATGATCGGGGTGGAGGGGACTGGGAACCTCGGAGGGAGGGGCAGGTGGGGGCCTCTCTCGGTCAGGCCTATGGCGTCACTGACCCAGCCTGCCTCCCCCCACCCGGGGGAAAGCCTTGGCCCAGGGCAGCGCGGGCGGGGGGGCCGGGTACCGTGTGTCCTCACACTGAGCATCCCCGTCCAGCACAGACGCTTAATTGTTGGCTCGGCAGCAGGGGCCCAACAGCCCCCTTCCCGTTCTGCTGGGGGGGGGCAGTTTGCTCTGTCCCCAGCCTCATTCCCCCTCTGTGAGCTGCCCCCCCAACACACAAAGCGAGTTCCAAGGCAAGCGGCTCTCTGCTCCCCCCAAGTTTGGCCGAATCTCAGGAAAGGAAAGAGGTGATCGCCTGCCCGGATGTTGCGCCTCTCCCGGCAGAGAAGGGTTGCCGGTGTCGTCTCTCTGCCAGCCCTGCCTAGCTCAGGTTTCCAGGATAAGCAAGGACCAGTGACCGCGCCGATTGCCACGCCACCGACAACTCGGCCAGCTGGTTTTTGCCGATCCAGCCGTTCAAAGGCAGAGGAGCAAGGGCTTCCAGACACAAACAGCCGAGCGGTTGAAAACCGTGATGGTTCTGCCTGTAGCATTGGGCGGCAGCAGCCCAACAGAGACAAGGGGAAGCATCAAACAGCATCTTCTCCCCAGGGCCTCATCCTCCTTAGGGCTCGTTCCGGGAACACAGGAAGCCATAGTAAGGACAAGAGCACCTCTGAGCATGTGCAAAGTGATCCTCGCTTCTCATGATTGCAAGAAGAGGGACTCGTACGAGTCAAACTGAGAGGAGGGGGCCCCTTTCTCTCCCCCTCGCATGGCTTTTGTGGCTTTAAGAGCGATGCTCGTACGCACCGACATCTTCGTGCTGGGACAAGTTTGGTCTGTCAAATGACAAGCATCAGCTGCTTGAACACGCCCCAGTGCATTGAGCCCCATGTTTTGTCTCCGGCAGAAGCCAGAAGCAGAAACGGGGAAAAGTGTCGCCTGTTACGAAAGGCGCAGTGCTTCACTGGATGAGAACCTCCGGGTGTTCCAGAGAGCAATTTTCTCCTTTGTCAGGAGCAGCGGTCTAACAATGAAACACAAACACCGCAATAAGCAGACGCAATTAAAAATTCTAACAATCAATGCTCATGCAAAGGGAAAATGACGTGTGGCTTCTGGGGGGACTTGTTTTTCCTTCCACTGAGCTCTCGCAGGGCTCTTTTCCCTTGCCTGTTTTATCTACACTTGCCATCATCAGAAAATTTAAACTGACTGAGGAAGCCCAGGTCCAAGACCTTCTCAGCCAAAGCTGGGGCCCCTTGGTGCACCCTGCTCTCTCCAGCCCTCCATGGGGTTACTGTGCAAGTGAAGCGAGTGTGTGTGTGTGTGTGTGTGTGTGTGTGTGTGTGTGTGTGTGTGTGTGAGATGGGGGACACCACCCAGAGCTCCCAGGAAGACTCATTGGACAAAAACACAACACAGCGCTTGGTGGCCATGAATTCTACAAGTTAATGATTATGTTTCCCTTTGGCCTGCAGCTCCCCAAGTCACAGAGGTCCCCAGAATTAGAGGCCATGCCCCCCCCCCCCAGCCTCCTATTTTTAGGATTTAAACTTTGCTCGGCCCCGAGTAGAGCCTCAGAAGCGAGGCACAGTTGCTGCCTCCCTGCCCTCCCTCCAGTCAAAGGCCGCCGGGTCTCCCATCCTGCCAAGGGACGGCGCTAAGGTGAGTGGGTGTGGGAACCTCTGCTGCGGAAGGAAGACGCAGGCTGCGGCATCCATTCCCCGAGTCGGGCAAACGGCCGCCCTCTCCCCAGCAGAAAGGAAAAAGAGCAGAGATGGCGCCCGTTCCCAAGGCGTATCGGCACATCCTGAAAAGTTATTTCTGGAACGCCCGGCTCACGAAGCGCGACCACTCCCTCCGACGCTCACGCAGCCTCGGCACCCAGAGGGGCAGGTTCGGGGGAGCCTCGCGATCTGGTGCACAGATGAGACGCTCACGCGGACGGGGATGACGGGCGCGTTTCTTCCAGATGGCGTCACCCGTTTCAGCGGGATCACAGTTGGCCCCAGTGCTTACGGGAGACGAGGTCCTGCCCCTGGGACGGAGGGGCTTCGATATAGGGCTGGGAGCAGCCCACCGAACAGGGAACCCTGCGCCTCCCTGGTGCGTAAGGTTGGCCGGGCCTGTAAAAGACTGGTCACTGGAATTTAATGGGATCTTCCAGCCAGGTAGGTGAAGGACAGGGCTCCCATCATCCCCAGGCAGCACAAGGATGGGAGTTGTAGTCCAACACATCAGGGCGGGAAATCCGCCCACAGTCTTCACATACCTGGTTCAAGATACCATTAAGTTCCAGCAGCAGGCCAGGATCAAGACACAGAGCAGATGGGGAAATGCAGAGTGGCTACCGTGGGAACAGAACGAAGGAAGCGTCTGATGGTGGCCTGATCCAGCAGGGCTCTTCCAGCCTCCTTGTGAGGAAAATGTCTGTCCCACCCTTCATCCTTATGTATAGCCAATATAAGTTTGAATTTCATGACGATTCCTAACCCAAAATGTGTGCATTAAAGTATAAATAGTGCCTATAGAGCGGCTTATTTTGAAGAAGAATATATAAAAGAGAGCCAGTATAGTGAAGAGCCCGGGACTGGGACTCAGGCGATCTGGGTTCGAGTCCCCGCTCAGCCGTGGAGCCCAGTGGGTGGCTCTGGGCCAGTCAGACTCTCAGCCCAGCCTACCTCACAGGGTTGTTGTGGTGGGGAAAACGTTGAGAGCAGGAAGATGAGAATGATGTCACACACTTTAAAATAGAAGAAAGCAGGACATAAATCCCGTAAAATGAATCCGTCAAGTTGAGTCAACCGTACAGTTGACTTAATTAATCGCTCCGTCCAGTGCGGCTTTTCACCGCACAGTGGCCTCTGGCTGAACACAACACAGCAAAACCCCCTTGCCTTGACGGCCAGTTCTGGAACACAGGACAGCCTGCAAAGCCACCTGTTTTTCGAAAGCATTTCAGAAATCCCAGCAGCTCAAGCATCAGCTCCTCTCCGACTCAGCCTGCCTACGGACCTTTTCTGCTCATTCAAACCGCAAGTGCAAAGGGTGGAGGGAGGCTCACAATCCCTGCTCCCAAATGCAAATATAGTCCTTGTAGGTGGCTGCAGTTCCAGATCTGACTCAACAGGGAGAATATGTGCAAGGTCAGGAAAACATCTTTGCCGTTCCTGTTCTTTGAACTTGTTCTTTTCGGTGTACTATTATTGTTTTATGAATCCAGACAATGTAGAAAAGGGTTGGGGGGGATTAATAAATAACGATCGGCTTGGCCTCCGCACGCACTCCTGCACTTCACAATTCACAGCCGAACTCCCGCTTTGCAGAAAACGCAGATACACGAACCACACCCAGCTAGCCGGAGTTCTCTCTGGAACTGCCCCTCGTCGACATGAATTAGGACCTCGGCTGGATCCAGCAATGAAACCCTGCTCCTTAAGGCCCTTTTAGTCCTCAGCAAAAGCTTAAGTACACAAAGCTGGTCTGCTGAGTCCATTCCTTTGTATCTCCCCCACCCTCCACTCCTCCTGGTGTCAGCAACTCCCTGCAACCTAAGCAAAATGTGCACTGTAAGCGCCCTGGGGCAGAGAACTGCTCATTTTGCTTAAGAAACTCTGGAAAGGCCATGCAGGCCAAGGGGGGGGGTTGTGGGGGGTGCAGGCAGTGTTGACCCTTCAACTGCTCCTTGGTACCACCGGACCGATTCAGGCTCCCCAAGGGATTCGCCCGGATACCACAGCGGTCTCCCAGCTCCAGTTTCAATCCCCGCTTCTGCTTGCGATCCCCAGCCAAGGAGCATCAAGTTCCCCTTCCAAAGCCGGAGCGGTGACTGAAGGGGCCCAGCTGAAGACACCTGCGGAAAGGACATCCCTCGAGAGTGAGGCCCTCGGAAATGTCCCAGTCGGACAACGGAGCCGCCCGCCTCCTTCCACATCCTCAGGGACACAAGGCTGAGCTGACGGAATCCCATCTAGTTGTACTGAGCTGCTCATTTCATGTGCACAGGCTCAGATCCTTTCCTCAGCCACCTACTGCCTCGTGGCCCAACACCATCACTTAATACCAGACTTCTATCCCGCCTTTTTCTTTTTTCAAATCCCAAACCGGCTGACTTCATTCTCCTCCTGCTCCCGATCTTCTCCCCACAACAACAGCCCTGTGAGGCAGGCTGGGCTGAGAGTCTGTGACTGGCCCAGAGCCGCCCAGTTGGATGCATGGCTGAGCGGGGCTGGAACCCCAGTCGCCTGAGTCCCAGTCCCGGGCTCTTCACCATGACACCACGCTGGCTTTTGCAAAGTTGCCGTGATCACCTTGCGCTCCGTGGAAGACGACAAACAGTATTCATTATAAATATGTCTCATTCCATAACAAGCAACTCTTAAGTCCGTACTTTAAATAATTAACCCAAAGGTTCGGGGGTCTGCAAATCACATTTCACCTGTGCTAGGAGGTAAGCTTGACAGTGAGACAGTACACTGCCCTGGACCATCTGGCGGGCACCATGGCCAAACGAGGATTTTAGTTCTGTTTTACACTGACAACAACCATGCAAGGTAGACTAAGACGGAGTAAGGGTGCCCTGCCTGCCAGTGTCCGTCAGCACCAAGTGCGGATTTGAACCTGGCGCTTTCTGCAGTATAACCGGCACAACACGGACGGGTCCGTCCGCACATAAGAGCCACGCAGTTGAAGCCACTCACCTTCCTGGGCTTTGCAGATGCCGATCCAGCAAGCTAGCAGGCAGGAGAGACAAAACCGGCCCAGGTGACCCATTTTTGAAAACTGAAGCGGCCCAAGAAATCCCATCTTCCAAGGCAATCTAGTGGCTCATGGGCAGGAAGGTGGGATCCCAGAAAGAAACGGAGACAATTTCTCACAAGACTCCCAAGCTTGCGGAGAAGTTACAAAGCTGAAAAAGTTGTCACTGGAGCCCGTATCCGAAAACAAGTGACGAAATCTTCAGTGAAGTCAGCACCCAAGAGATTGTGGGTGAAGAATGGATCCAAACTTTTAAGAAGACATTAAAAACTATCCCGACTTGCCAAAACTCCTTGTGGAAATTCAGAATAATTTCCCAACTTGAAACATTTATTCGTATCAGAGGAAAAAAAGCCAAAGAGCGCCAAGACAATGTTCTTTCCCTTGAATTTCCCTCTTAAAGTTTGGCTTCACTTGCCACTCAGGATTTTTTTCCACCCTTGTTGTCTCAAGTCTTTCGAAAACTGCACCTGATGATTCCCTGCTCTCTCTGGGACAGGCTTGTTCCTTCTGCGCTGGCGTCCAAAGCGAGACTGAAATAAACAGACCCAGAGTATTGTAACAGACCTGCCCACTCAACTTTTCTGCTCTGCTTCTTGATTTCCAAAATGCTGACTTTTCTAAGAAACAAAAAAGGAGAAGAGCAGAGAGCAAGGAGACACGGTGGGGGAAAAGTCCCTGCCTTTTCACTCTGTCCCTGACTCACCCCCTCCTACACATTGTTGAAAAATTGTTTGGGACTAGAAGGGAGGCCAGAGAGATTAGCAAGTTGGAAACGGGCAGAAAGGAAGGAGAAGAGCGGGAGAGATTCGGAGGGTGCGAAAATTCCAGCCAGCCCAAGCGGGGTTAATGGGAGGAGAAGAACAGAAGAAGAAAGACCGACTTTTCTTAAAGTTACACGCACCCACATTCCCCAAAGGCGAGTGAGCGCCGACCCGCCGGGCCGGGATGACATCGGAGGGCGACCTCGGGAGACGGGCAAACACGCTCAGCCCCAGCTGCAGAAAAGTTGTCCCAAGTGCAGATGGCGCAGCCCAGGGAAGGCAGCTGTCATTAATCTGTTGGAGGAGGAGGAGGAGGCAGGCACCCTTTGGCGCACACATCCACAGGTGTGCTGCGTTTTCATTGGGTGGGTGAAGACTGAAGGCGCCTCTTCACCTGAAAAGGTTAGCTTTAAGAGAGCGCGTCGCACGTTCGCAACCCTTGGAGGAATGCTCCACCGTGCCCCTGCATGAGTCCCTGTTCGGGGCAAACCCACTCTGGTCCAGTCATGCCTTCAGCAGAAACACATCAGGAGCACCTGCGCATCACTTGCACCTGCAGGGCGGAGGCGGTGCGCGACAAGGCCAGCTGGGCGCTAATCACACAAGGGAGTGCTCCGCACTTCCAGAAGACTTGGATTTTGAATCCACTTCTTCCATGTAGCACATCGAAAACTCTTGCTCTGCATCACCTGCAAATTTCTGACACAGCATGACGAATATCTTCCAACTATATTCCCTGTGTTTAGCAGGAGCTTCTGAGAAAGATTTCACTCCTGGGCTGTATAGAAATGCTTGTCTTCCAAACTGGGCTTGGGTGGGTTGCACCAGCAAAATAATCAGCATTAACCTCTTATTTTCTTAGGCCTTTCAGCTTTCTAGGAGGAAAATGTGTAATGAGTGAGGCTGCAAGGCAGGTTAAAGACATGGAAAGTGTGTTCTGCTTTGCAGGTTGGGGTTCAAGGTATGCCCACATCGGAAAGGCTTGAAGAGCATCAGGATGACTGGGGCCTAGTGGTTAGTGCAGGACTGCAACCTTCTAATCCCAGTTCTAGCCTCCACTTGGCCAGAAGCTTTGGACCAAGCACTGATGCTCAGCTTCGCCTACCTCACAGGGCTGTTGTGAAGATAAAACTAAGAAAGTTCCCTGCAAGAGGAACCAAGGCAAGGTATAAAATAATATTAAAATACTAATAATAAATATTAATGAGGAAGCTGGGAATGGCCTTAGTCCCTCCCCTGAAAGGAAGCTGGGAATTATACTCCAGCAAGAGACAAGGGGATTCCTGGTCAAAGACTTCTGTCCTTGATACAGAAGAACTCATATTTAATTAAACTATCGTGATCCCATTCTTCAGACAAAAAGGAGCAACTCCCAGATGATTGGCCAAAGGAGCCCAGGTTCATGGACACAGCTAGATTTCCCTTGCTTTTAGTTCTGGGTTTGCCCTTATCACTCCCACACTGGCAAAATTTCAACAGGTGCAGCATTTTACACTCCTAAGAGACAGATCATGCAAGGAAAGAGGGATGGGTTGGAAAGAGGAAAAATCCAGTCCCGCCCACTGTGCAGCCAACCGGCCTCTTCCCACCAGCAAGGTGCAGTTGGCTAATAAATTAAAGGCCGGATGATAGGTGGCCTTAAAATGCCCCATTGTCTGTGTCTCTGGGGGGCCCTTGTGATGCAAGTTTGGGAGCCTGCGAGTTAACCATTACCCACCACAATGGGGAACTGGGCTGCAGATCTGTTAAGTTTTAATGCTTGAGATCCATCCTGCTAAAGAAAAAAGAGTTAGAGCCACATGACTTGCATGCTTTAAATTTAGGTGGGGCCCCAGAAAAGGACCACAGGATCCAGGAAGCCACAGCCTTAAATTACAAGCGCTGCGCCGGACGGTCATGGACATTTCGGAGGTCTCCTCAAACAAAACCTGGACTAACTTGCCGAAATTCAGAGCTCTCAGCTCTGGTAGAGAGAGAGATGAGTGGCGTCCTGACAGGCATGTGTCAAGCTGGAAAAGTTTTTCCTGGCACAGAGGAAAGGCTTCACCTGTTTCATATCTGCCTTGTCAGGTTTTTGGTGAAAGAATGGACACGGCATCACTAAACATGGGCTTGCAACGAAGCCGCTCACCGCTGCTTTTGCCCATTGAAGAGCCTTCCAGCACCCAGAAAACCAGCATTTTATTTTACCGTGTCAGGAAAAGCTTCCGTCACACTTAACTTCCCCCACAGCTACAAGCGCAGGAGCCCAGCCTTGAAAAATACGTGGCAACGCCGCCAAAAGGAGACTCCCCTTCCCCAAATAAAAGGCAGGGCCCCCTTGGGGCAGAGGAGCAGGCGGGCGTCTTGCCCGGCAGTGTTGGCGGCTTGGTTTCAGCCGGTCAGGCGGCCACAAAAGAGCTTGCCACAGTGAATGCCTGGTCCTTCAGGTGCCGCAAGGCTCTTCGCTGTTTTTGCAAGGTGTGTGGGAAGGTTTCGTTTCGGACGGGAAGGCGTCAGAGTTGAGGTCTCTCAGCATCACGAACAACAATCCCACAAACAGAGTTACGTTCTCCGCCCCACAAAAGCTCTACCAGGCATACCTGGCATACCTGCCGCACGTCAGCTTTCCCATCTTCCTTTGTCTGTTTCAATTTCCTCACTTGGCCACCTCGAAATAATTCCTACCTGCACGTTGGCTCCTCCAGCAGTCCAGCATGGAAACGGTGCTACCGAAGGAGAGAGAGAGGCAGCGATACTGGGGGAAAGGCACTCTGTACATGCTCAGAGTGCCTTTAATTATATATTCCTTTATTAACTATATTTCAATTCCACCTTTCTCCCAGGGTGGCGCCCAAGGTGGCTCCATGTGGTACCCGGGTGGTCTCCCCTCCAAGCTCAGGCCAGCCTCAGAGCTGCTTAGCTTCCACATGATGGGCATCCAATGCAAACACACATGAAAAGAGGAAGAAGAAACTGGCAGGACCGGAACTATTCACACAGGATGCTTTCCACTTCCAAACTCGGGTTTCCTTTGCCCTACAGCGGACGGTTAAGGTTGTCAGTTCTTTTCTGCTCCCGGGTTTTTAACGGGGAGCTTGATTTGCAGAGAGCAGCGACTGCGAGGAGAGAGGCTGTGTCCATGCCGGGAAGAGCTGCCCCTGTGGATGCCTGCAGATCAAGCCTCCAGGTCATGCTTCCCATGACAATCTGGCAGCCCACACGGGCCGGCCGTGCTCTCTGCGCTTCTGATGTCCCGGCTGTGAATGCCTTTGTGCAGCAGAACTGGAGTTGCCCATGCAAAGGCGCAGACGAGGTCTGCGGGGGAACAGAAGATATTTAGGGGAAGGCGGCCCTAGGGCAAGGAGAGGAGACTGGGCGTAACTGGCACAGGCGGAGTGTTGGCGACGGACCGGGACCACGTCGCTCAGCCACAGGTGAGTGCGGGTTGTCACTGAGCCATCGCGTGTTGAACTGCAGGTTCCCGTGTTGTCTGAACCCAGCTGGAATAACAATCCATGGTGTGTTAACCACAAGCAACCCACGATTCATTGGGTTCTCTTCATGGGTTTATCTTGCTTGCTTGCTTGGGTTCGGATTACATGACCCCGTTTGCATGACAGCCCATGGTTCATAATACCTTGGACTACGGTGGGATGTGAACCCAGCCAGTGCTGGGACAGGTGGAAACTGGGACAGAGCAGGGGTGGCTGGATTCCCAAACCGATCAATTCACGCTGCAGCTTCCCTCTTGCAGGGTTAATGTGCCTTGGCTCCCAGTACCCATGTCTGGTACATTGCCCCCTTTCAACCACAGCCAGAATTCTCTCCACCCAGAGCTGCGGACAGAACAAGGATCTGCTATTCTCATCTCCGCCCTCTTGCATGGAAGTGCTCGCGCTTTTGGCATCTGCCTGCACGCCGATGGGATGGAGGAAGGTGAGCCAGGTTAAGCAAACAGCCGGTCTGGGCAAAGGCGATGACGTACTGCAGGCCAGAATGTGGAGTCGGGTTTCTTTCCAAAGGGGTCCGGGCAGTGGCCGTTGATGCAACCAACCTTCGAGGACACGGTCCATTACTTGAAACAGGAAGAGTTGGATTAATTCAGACACCCCAACCCCCCCCCCTTTCTTGGGCATTTTGGCATTTGATGACTCGCTAGGGACAGAGTCGGACAGCGGCTTATTCCAGTGGAGCCGGAAATGTCTGCGGTCCATGGGCACTTGCTCAAAGACAGGCATGGGGCTCTGATGCTCTAATGCACTGAATCCC